GGTTAAGTTAGGTTGGTTGGTTCCTTTGGTATGAGAATAGGTTAGGTTAGGTTAGGTTAGGTTCCTTTGGTTAGGTTAGGTTAGGTTAGGGTTAGGTTGGTTGGTTCCTTTGGTATGAAATAGGTTAGGTTAGGTTAGGTTAGGTTAGGTTGGTTGGTTCCTTTGGTATGAGAATAGGTTAGGTTAGGTTAAGTTAGGTTGGTTGGTTCCTTTGGTATGAGAATAGGTTAGGTTAGGTTAGGTTAGGTTAGGTTAGGTTAGGTTAGGTTGGTTGGTTCCTTTGGTATGTGAATAGGTTAGGTTAGGTTAGGTTAGGTTGGTTGGTTCCTTTGGTATGAGAATAGGTTTTTGGTATATTTTTTTGTTTTTTACTCATATTCGCCCTCCATTTTTGTGTAAATTAACTGTTTGTTAATGAGTTTTTTTTGCACAACACACTACTTTACAAAAGAAAACATCACATTTGAGTAAAACACTGAAAAAATCTCCATAAATTACTATTCTCGTACAAAACCTGAGGACAGCCACTGGACGAATATTTACCTAGTGTCTTAACATTGTCTAAACCATCACATATTAATCAACAAAAACTCAATGGTTGTCCACTTATATTAATTTACCAGGGGCTTATCTCAAAACTATTGATTTACACCAGAAATGAAGATCAAATTCGTCCATAACATCAAAAACCACCGGAACTACATACTTTAAACTCTAATGTCATACAGTGGCAATAAATGTTAAATATACCAATACAGTGTCACCACCTCCACCAGATGACCCAACACAATTAACTAAATTAACCATTAAATACACTCTGTCTAACCATAATAATCCTCCAACAACTTCTTAGTATTATTAATGTTAACTATATGAAATAATATTATGAATAAATGTCTTACCGATGCCTTAAAGCGGATATTTTCAGGGCTGTCAGGTTGTAGTGCACTTGACCCGTCCTCCATCTTGGTTCTTTGTCAAATGGATCCTGCTGGTGATGGATCCAAGAAACACCAGACGAGAAACTCTACCCTGTACCACATGATGATGGTTTAGTAGCGCTGTTAACTCATAGATGGCGCTCACCTTCATATATCAAACCCTTATTAGTAGCGCTGTTAACTCATAGATGGCGCTCACCTTCATATGTCGTCCCTTATTATCTTATTATTTTTTTACGTTCAATACATAAGACTGTCATTTGAATAATCGTCTATTACCATCTAAATAAAATTATATTAGCATTTCATAGATTCTGTGAAAAGTAAATAAGTTTTTGCTGTGAAATAACTGAAAACATAAGGAATTCACGATTTTTTAACAAAGAAAATGTCACTTCGTTCTTAGGAGCATTAAAGAAAAATAATCTTTCTTGGAGAAACTAAAGTAAATTATAAATCTATGACATTACTACATATTTTGAAGTATTCTCACTTTATTCACTTACAACACTGTACATTAGTAAAGCTTATATATTGGTGGTACTTATATACTGCCTCGAGTACTTAAACACTGACTGATTTACTTAGAGGGTGAAACTATTATTTAATTCTCTTTGTGAAGTTGTAGTATTTTTTTAATTATTTCTTTTCTCCTACCGATGTTGTTCAATAAAGCTGTTGATTAGTTTGCTTGAAAGGATAAAAGCCGTTTCACTGTTAAAGAGGCCAATGAATTCTATAGTATATTTACGAGTGTATACAAGAAACCCAACCACAGATTTGTTGAAATTTAATCATAATCTTCCAAATAAAACTCAAATGTGATCTGGCTTTTGAACTTTTGATAAATATAACATGATGAATTCTACGGCTTTCTAGGGGCGACTAGACACACAGACACCACCGTTAAGCTGTTAATGGTTGTTACGCCTGTTTAACTCCAGGTAAAACCACATTCATTAATCTCTATAGTGAAAAGTAAAAAAAATTATAAATAAAAAAATAGTAAAATTAGCAATAGCAACGCGATAGTCAAGACATATTGAAGTTTTATAGAAAATATTAAATAAAACTTCAATATCTTCAACAGTTGAGGTGGTGGTTAGCCTAGTTAAGATTTTCCCGCCTAAATCCCAAGTCCCCCCACCCTCCCCCACCTCCACCCCCACACCAACCCCCACCCTGCCGTGGTCCTTAAATACTCTGAAAGCTGCGGTGGGAGGTCAGTTCTGATCACAACCTCAAAGGAAGCAGTGCTACATGATCCAAGAATATTCGTCTCTTGTTATTCTTCAGCTGCTGTTACTAATTCGCATGAGTATATTTCTTGTGTTGGTTAAAACTAAGATTTTTAGAATTATTTTTATTAGTTTTAATTTGGCTATATATATTAATGCAATTGGTGTGTTATTACCAGTATTGAGTTTAATGTTAAGACTTGTGTATTTAACCCCTGATTAATTGCTTGTTTCAGAAATCCGAGATCAACCCAGGCAACTACTGTATGTTTCAGAGGCGGGATGCAGTAAATCGAGCTCTGGGTGAAGGTTGTAGTGGACGTCTCCCCTACAACTTTGCATCCGCATTCCAATGCGACAGTATCCTAGCAACCAAACGAGAGGCCCAGGCTGGGGGCGTCACCAACTGCTAACATATCCTAGCAAAGAAGTCGAGAAACCGGCGAGTTCCCACGGGTTTACTTTCTGATGCTGTGTATATAAGCTTTGTCTCTCCACTGAGATTCATTCTGGCCTCGGTTCCTGAACACGCAACACCTCATCCAAGCAAGCTCCTTGCTGTCCAGCTCTCATTCAACATGGAGGCCAGCAACAGGCAACATCTCTAACAAAGCTCCTGCACATCTACCTCCTTCAGCACGCTACTCGCCAAACGTGTCTACTGAACAGCTCCTCACCACACGGCATCTCCAGCACCAGACTGTCTACCATATAATTTATATTGTATAAGAAAACCACCACCTAGAGTTTCCATCAATCCCATCCTGAGTGCTAGACAGCATATCACAAAACCCTACAAGGTGATCTCCAGCTTCAATCTTGGCACAACCAACCTACCTTGGTCATGTGGGCAAGTAAGGATGAACTCTGCCGAAGTGTGGAAGATTAGGCGTTCCAACTACTGTTTTAGTTCAGATAATAAACGTGCTCGTTCAATAAACTTTAATATAACGTTAAAGCCCTATTTCTTGCTTATCTACCGAGTCCATTTGGGGTTTAAACCAACCACAGCTTAAGAGTTTAACCATGTGTCTTCTGGGGGCGATATAGTTTATTTTAAGACTCGAATTTCCTTCTCAAATGACTGTCTTGCACTATACCGTGTCAAATTGTATATAATTTACATGGTTAAAAAAATTCGGTTCACCAAAGACGAACAACAAAATACCAAGGAGAGAACATAATGTTATCAAGGTATCTACTCTGATAATATTAAGAATTCTCCTACACAAATTGTATCTACCTTTTGAGCAAGTCTTGATTTTTAATGGTAGTCTGCCATTAAAGTAATAACAAATTTAATGTCTTGCCTTTTACGATAATGAGCCATGTATCGTTACTCCAATTGGTATCCCTTTGCCTACTTGGTCAAACCTACACACGTAAGAGCCCGCCTGGTCCTGCCAATCGCTGGAAGCTTATGTGGCCGAATTTACTTTTGCATACCTGGCAGTCACTGGTGGTGATCCAACCTCTTCAACTCTAAACTCGTACAATGCTAAACTATCAAAATTGACAATCTTCTCTTAATTCCTTGTTTCCCTTCCCAATTCATAATCGGTATAAATGAAGAGGTCTGTTTGGCCACCACAAATTATGGTAGAAGCCCCACATGGTGAATACCTGAGGTTGGAAAAACTTGTACAATATTTGAAGTCTGATTCCTGCTACCTCATTGGTCAGAATTGGGAAAATAAACAAGGAAACTATGTTCACGGAGGTGAAGGTAGTTCCCCAGGTCTGACTACCGAGGAATGTCTGCAGCACACCTGACACACTAACCACTACACTTCCTCCCCAAAGACTCAAAGTGGCCTCCTTCACAACCACTGGGAACCTGTACAGCTACTCGCCTGAATCTGTAGGAGGCAGCAGCATTTCTGGAACAATCGACTCCTACTGCAGATGTCTTCTAGAACTCCACTAGTCACATCTGAAAAGCTTGCTAGTCTTGGGGTGGTAGATTAACAGGGTTTTCTTACTACATTTCATTCTTTCTACTACTAGAACATATTACCTGAAAAATAGCTGTACTACTACACCCTCCACCACTGCTAGTACACTCATCACCATAACTACTACTTACTGCTACTATACCCATTACAGTAATATACTAGCCTACCAGACCCAGGTGCCCTACTAGGGGGCTGGCCCTAGGACTACCACCCCCAGGTGCCCTACAGTCAGGTGGATGATGATGGGTAGGTGGAAGAGGAGACTGTTCAATATATCCTGGAGGGCTCTGTTATGAGCCAAGTTGTTCACACTGATCCTAATGGTGGAATTGTCAAAATATTTCTAATGAGCCGGAGTTTCTTTCGGGGTACTCCTTAATAAGCATGAAGAAGCCTAGTGGTCCCATCTGTGCCTTGGGGGACATCACAAAAGAGTCACTGAAAGGTGGAAGCAGTCCCTCAAGAAGCATGTGGGCTTGGCGTCCGTCGCTAAGAAAGTCTGAAAGCCATGGTTTAATACCAGAAGCATTTTTGTATTTTATCCACAAATGTTTGGATGATCGTAATAAAAATTACAACTTTTTCTTTAATTTTAAGATTCTTTTTTTTCTTTCTACAATCATAAATCACCTGTAGCGGTCAGGGCACGAAAGATGAAGGACATACGGGGTAAAACGCCACCTCCAAGTGCTTTGTAGGTGAAGAAATAAATTATTTACCATAAATATTCGGCCAATATTTCTTGTGACGTCGCATGTTCGCGTCTTGTCAAACTATAAATTTGTGATTTGATCTTTGTAAACATTAAAAGTAAACGACTAGGCTCTCGATGGGGTTTTTTATTACAGCACATACTAAAACACTGGTCAAAGACAATCTTTTATTCTGACTTTGGTAACACACCTGTATAAAGGCATGACATGAGACTTAAGACCAAATTGAAAACAGTTGCTGTACATCTTAATGCAAGTTTTATTCACAAGATATTTAATTTTGAGTTGACAATAAATAACTTGTGTTGAAGACTTAATATGATATGTACAGATGTCATCTATGATCCACAGTCTTGCAACAAAATGCTTGACACTGCTCGTCTTAGATAAAGTACATCGCACGGTTACATTTTCTGACGACAAAGGTGAAATATGTAAGACGTACAACTCTTGGCTTAGATAAACAATGTTTTATAAATGAGATACAGGTATATCTAAAAATGAATGACGCCAAATGATGACGCGTTTGATCTCGCAATGGCACCGACCGTTACACTAATGACATGCACTATAATGTATACCTCACTTGACATTATAACAAACATTGCCACATCATGTGACATTAAGTATGTACAGTACAGTTTACAAAAGTTCATTTACTGTATATGCCTGAGACTCTAAACTGCTTTCTTACCCAAAGATGGCACTATGGTATATATTTTGGGTGTGGTGCAGTTTGGAGCAATAGTTTAAATCAACTTTTTTCTGCCTATACATTAATATTTTGAGAGGATGGGTGGGGGGGGATGAGTTGAAATATAGGTTACACTTCAAAAATCCAAAATGCTTGATACCAGAGCCATTACAGATAATTGATCTTGTTGGCTAACTGAAGGTCATTATTAAAAACCCTAATATTTCACTAAGCACCAAATAAAATACTATATGACAAGTATAAACTAATATATAATACTGCATGTACAGGTATAACAAACTAAACTAAGGAACTCAAGATATAATGTTAATAATAATACAAGAAAATGCTCAGTGAAGATATCTTTGCTTATTTACCCCTGGAGTCAGCTTAGTGTGCTACAACGCCATCGCCTGGCAGCTCGGCGAACTAGTACAGTAGAAGCGTGGTAAATTTTTATAATTAATGCGATCACTCCAATTTTCTTCGGATGTTCACAGTTTTTGGATAAATGATGTTTGGATTTTTTAAGTGCAACCTGTATATAACATTACTGTATACGGTACATATATATATATTTCCGAGGAAGTACACCTCATGAGGAGCCATAAACATACTCTTGATGTATGCCAAAAGTAATGAAAAACCTAATTTTAGAATACAGCATTCCTATATACTGCTCCTCCCCGACTTACGACGGGGTTAGGGACACAAATCCAGGTCGTAAGTCGGAAATGCTTAAATAATACATAGAAAATCTTAAATGTGTGTCTCTTTTTCTTCTCAACATCACAAAACACTCACTTTTAAGCTTGCCAGCCATTTTAAAGTGAATTACAAACAAAAATTTTGACTGCGTACTGACTTTGGGACTCGAAAATACGTAATTTGATCAAATTTTGGTACAACCGAGGCAGATCGTAAGTGAGAGTGGTCGTAAGTTGAGTAGGTCGTAAGTCGGGGAGGAGCTGTATACGGTATATCCGAAACAAAAATTGAGAATGCCAAAAGAAATTACAATATTATGAAATACATGGTGGATATTTGTTTAGTACAACTGACTAGAATACTAGCAGCAACAATATTGAAATAAAAATATACTGCACTGCATAATTCCCTATCATTGCTAAGTATTGCTTGAATGTGACCTCCAAAGTGTAAATAGTACACAGCCACATTCCATCAACAATTTGCTACACACCGTAATGCGTACACGGAATATATACCTGTTCTTACCACTTAAATCGCCACATTCTCCGGGTTAGACAAAATCTGCTCGGTTGTTAACCGCCTGAACCGCACAGTCGTCGTGTTTCATTTATATGGCCTGTGAAAAATAAGACAAACTACCTCAACCTGGCAGATATAATATGATGTCTCACAGTTTTGTACCCAGTAGGTAGAAATCCATAGGTATGTTAGATGTAGATGACCGTAGATGTAGTGAACTTCGTCTATAATAACTCGTAGACAGTCGTACGGGTGTTGTGCTCCATTTGGCGACTCCTTGTGCCGTCTCTAGAGCTCTGTTCTATCACTTTTGGCTGTTTGTCACATTCTCTCTCTCTCTCTCTCTAATGGTGTTAATGATTAATGTGTAATGATATCAGGTTACAATGTTTCTTTAATGTATTTGAGATTATTTACAACACAGAGTTCAATGATATCTTCAAAATATTCCTAACGGTGGTTTAAGTGTCCGTCTAAGTGTGCGTGGAACTAAAGCCCCGACTTGGCTGCTCTGACGCAACCCGTCGCCTTCCGTGTAAGCGTCTGTCCACGTAAATATCCAGCGAGTGCGTGGTGGTGTGACGTCTTGTCGGCGGTGCTTACGGTGATGTTGCATAGCAGGTGTCAAATTCCTTACAGCACTGGGAGTAGCAGAGACAAACGTCTACACACATTTTCCGAATTAATACACACATAAAGCTTAATAGCCTGGAAGAATCAGTTTAGTTTTATACCATAATGTATAAAAAGTGACACAAACTGACCACTAACTTTGCCAAGCTCTGAGAATCAAGTGTAATAAATAACTCGAAAATATGACTACACTACTGAAGATCACATTTTTGCATCTTAGGACTAGAAAACACTGTAAGCCATATTAGCTGGTATGTTACATACCATAGATAGAAATATTACAGAATAAATGCATAAAAACATAGAATACTATATTGTACATAAAACTATACTGTATATACTTTACTACTTTACTATGCAAGTTATATAAACTTTCAGACTGTTAATGAACACATTAAAATGTATTTTCAAGGTTATTGTACTTTAATGCAGTATTAGTTTTGACACAATTCATTCTGACCTCAAGACCTTCAAATAAAGATGGTACACACAGTGTCCCACTCATCTAAAATATTATATAATATACAACAAATTATTTTACATTACTCTGATTGATACAATTATTTAAGAAAACATCCCATTCAACATTACCAAAGAAAATATTTAACTCATATAAGAGAGCTAAATATGGTAGTGTATTAAAGGATGAGGTCTGGTAACTCACCCTTTCTTCTTGTGGTGTAACACCTCACATCATAAGCACAGTACTGTACTGTACACAAAAAGTGAAATGCAAAATTCATTTAACAATTTTCTCATTTGAAATAATATCAAGAAAACTTCATAGCTACTGCAATTATGTTACTTTATGGGTTATGAAGAAATTAACAAAATCATTAACCCAAGTTGTAAATATCTAAATGTATAGTATAGCACAACTCTGAACATTTCAACAACTATATACAGGGTATTGCAACACTAGGATCGATGCAACAATCTTCAACTAACATTAAGAACTTGCCATCCTCACTAGCTGACCTATGACACTTTACAGAAAGTAAGACCCTCTTCAATTTCACTACGAACATCACCCGTTAGCATGAAGTTGACAATAGCGCGTGCTAAATAACTCGTCACTGCAACTTGAGATGCATTGTAGAAGGATGACATATCTTCAGTATATTCTCTACCCAGGTCCTAAGAAACAAAAGATAAAATTACAACAATCAATGAAGGTGAAGTTGGTGGTCCACTTGGCCTAATAGCATATCTCAAGGGTACGATTAAGTTATTCGTGATATATAGCAGGTCGGGATTCTTTACATATACCGTAAACGCCATATTGGATAAAAAAGAGCCAATGACTAATTTTTTTCAGCCAACCTCACTTCATAGCTTTCAAAAATTTTCTCACAATAAAATTCATTCAAGCTACTATTTCCTCAAACACACACATACTTCAGGTACCAACAACCTTCACCCCCTCGAGCGTTCGTAAAGTTTCGCCGTCAAAATTTCTCATGAGGATCTACATTCCTCGTACTACAGCATTACTTTGCAGAATGAGGCTCTACATTCCTCCTACTACAGCATTACTTTACAGAATGAGGCTCTACATTCCTCCTACTACAGCATTACTTTACAGAATGAGGCTCTACATTCCTCCTACTACAGCATTACTTTACAGAATGAGGATCTACATTCCTCCAACTACTTTACAAAATACTGCTATGAAAACTCAACCCTAAATTCCCCAAAGTTTCAATCTCAAGAGAATTACAAACTCCACCTTACCTTTAAAAACATCTTGAAAGCTTCTTTGACAATCTGGTCCAAATTCAGCTCGTGCAAGAACTTGAGCTCGGGATTTCTCTCCAGGATAGTTGCTATAACCGAGAACAGCTGGAATATAGGTAGCATATATGTAAACATTTGTATCACCGTCCTATATCAGGGTTTTCACTCAATATTTAGTGAGTATAAACAAGAGGATTTTAAGATAGGGATGAAAAGTATTACAAGTACTGTACTGTATATTAATAATTACAGGATAATTCTTACTCATAGTACATAATTTTCAACAGTGCAGTAAATTCTATATTTCCACAGTCTCCATTTTTATAATTTTAACAGTGTTCAACCAGCTTAGGATATATTTTTCAATTCTTCACCACCCTTTCATTTGCAGGCACTGTCATGCAGCCTATTGCTTCCTATTGTTCCCCATGAATGTAACTGCTTTTTTTTAAATAAAACAAATCCACCCAAATACAGTACTGAAATTAATTCTAAAAAAAGAAAGACCAAGTGATATTGATGTACAAAAGGAAGCATGTTTCTCTACTGTACTACTAACATACAGCAAAAAGCCAAAATATTACAAATATTAGACAAGGATGCTTCAGCATACAAACTTACTGAACAATAAAGTACTGCAAATACTGTACAACAAATTATGGTATCAAGAGACAGTATTTCAAGATGATAAAATTTTATGATGACATTGACAAAAACATGAGCTTATTAGAGTGTAAAGCACCGCACAGAGCCAGGCCAGCAGAGCTTGGCACAGTGATGGATGAGTGTTTAATCAACATAGATATGAAGGAGTGCCTATTTTTGCTCCTCTTTTGTGTGAAAAACCCAGACAGTTTCACCAGATTTTGAAAATAAAAGTAGAATACAAAATGTGTCATGGAGATTTAGCAGTGACAAAATCATACCTAAAAGCTTGTACTGTGCTGTACCTCATAATAAAACACTCAATATTCAATATTTTCATGTATCCTTGCATTTATATGTGCACCTTTATATTTATTCCCCACAAATACCCTTTTAAAGCAAATGGACAACTTTTTAAGTGGACCCCCCCCTGTATGATGATTCTTACTAATTAAAAATTCATCCACTTGAAATTGTAGGGTAATTATATTGAAGACATTCTTAATATAAATAACTGTACCTCAACAACAATCTGACGATACTCCGGGTGCTGGATGCGGTTGAGAAGAGACTGGACGGTAAGAGCAAAGTTTAACTCTCCGGACGACATCTCGGAGATAGTCGGATGTTGTGGAAGGAGTTGATCGCAAAGACGAACTCCTTCTGTTGACTTGGATAATATGTGAAACACCTGGAACAAGAAAATTTGTCAAAATAAGCATAGTATATTGGTCCTGGGGACAGATGTATACTAACTAGGTGGGAATAAGCTCTATTAGCCCTCCTGCCTGCAAAATGCAACTTTTACATCTACAGTATCTCCTTATTTTGAGGCCAATGGGTGTCACAGGAAGGGATCTGTAGTATTATGAGCTTCATACTGCCTTAAGGGTAAGGTGTCAAAGGCCAACCTCCACATCCCAGGAGAATTATCAAGAGGCACCAACCAGAGAGCAACTTGCTATAAGGGATGTCTCCTAAACTTGGTGTCAGGGATTGGTGGTGAGCACATGTGTAGCCAGGGGTTTTAACAATTGGGCTTTTCTAAAAGAAATCGTGAGACATGGATTGATCCTCCGCTCCCAATGGACAGTCAACTCGAAAATTATTTTCAAATTAGTGGATTGACCGGGAATCGCGTGGGAGGACCGTGGCTCTGGTAAAACGGAATTACCTTCTCGGGGCCTCCTTCGTATTGTGACATTCTCTGCAACTCGTCTCTATTGGAAGGGATATCAGAAATTCTCCCTGAATTTACAGGTGCAGTACTGTACTGTCATTCACTCACTCTACATGCTATTACAGAAGTGCTCAACTATGGAGTTCCCCTTCCACAATGAGGCCGTGAGATAAGCACCCGGTTTATCCGTCACTTCGTATAACTACGTCGCCCGGCAGCAACTCGTCTTTTCCAAAACGCCACTTGCTTTCTGGTCGTTCATACACCCACCACTGCTTTCTCTATGTCCACAAAAATACTGTTAATATTGATGATATTTCTAATTCACATATATCATACCTTGTCTATTGCTAATCCCCATATTCTAAGCATTCAGTGGCTAATAGGTTACCCCAGCCTCTTGTCAGGATGCTAGTTGACTGAATGGTTGTTTTACTATAGGCAAGTGCCCCCAAGTATACTGTACTTATTTCATTACTGGGTGGCCAAGGGGTTGTATACAAAGAGGGAACCCAGTCATTTACTACAGCTGATAATTTTAACCTGGACCCTCTGCCTGTGAGCAAATTTCTCTACTACTGCTTAGCTGTGGATAAACAACAACAGAGTAACATCAAAACACAAACCTTTTCATAAAATCTTTTAGGCGTTCTTCCCAGACATCCATCAATGACTCGAATCTGCTGGGGTGTTAATCTGAAAATTTAAAATACAATGTAATTGGTTGCCTTCACAATATCCAAAAAAATAACCAACCAACCAACCAAACTTATTTGTTTCATTATCCAAAAAATTTCACACTCGACTCATTATAGTGAATAAATTTTGGGTTCTGTACAACAACAAAAAATAACGTCAATGGGCAAATATTTGTTAACTTTCACAATTATTTACTGATAAACCCAACTTCTTCAAAGGAAAATTAGGAGACATTCAGTTAGTAAAAAATGACCCCGATTCTCACCCAAAACCCTTTTTTTCAATATTATCTCTTGACGATAAAATTTCTTTTATGCATTACTTGTTTTTCCAGTTATAGTTACACCACATAATACTAAAAACACTATACACAAAAACCTACCTTTCTTTGTGTGCCCATTCATCAATAGAGAGCACCTTGACCACCAAACGTCTCACTTCATTTGGAGCTAAAGATTCGATGCTTTCCTTTCCGTGACACACGTCGTGAAGGTAATATGTCATGGCTTTGATCACCCATCTGTAAGGCAAACAATGAAAATTCAGAACTGTACAGCAGTACTTTGATGTTTACTAAATACGATAACAACAAACCTGTCACAACCTACATTTGTACAAATATGAGACATTTCTTACATAGAAGCAAATGTTTTTCCTCTCTGTCTGACCTTCACCACGCGAACATCTCTTGCAGAACTCGCCATTCGCTGACACACTTTACTAGCATTTTTTTTTTCTCTTAACCATGACCCCTAAGAGTAGAGTGGGTGCTGAAGTGAATCCTATGCAATAAGGCAGAAGGGGGCACAAAAGATGATGTGATAACAGGTGCTCACTGGACCTCCTCTGCTTAGACTACATGAGGGAAAAACCTTTGCTCCTTCTCTCCATTTCTTAGCAAAGGTTGTAACAGGTGATGATAGATTATTCTTAAGATGTGTTTTGCCCACTGATGTTAGATCTCCTGACTCTACATCCTTGGCACAGTGGGCACGTTACTACTACAACTGATGCAGGATGACTACCAGTAACCATAAATGAAAAGCAATACTGTACCTGCCATGGTAATGAAAGTCTATAAGGAACAAACTGTTGGCAATGCCATATAATTTCACATTTGCATTATGGGAACCCCACAAGTATTATAAATTAAAAATAAAACCAGTGACAGCCAAATAGCTTAAATTGGCTTTAGGACACACACACACAATAAGAACTGAACTGATGGAACTTACCCAATTCTAATATTAAGGATGCCATTGAAGAGCTGTGTGTGTGTAGCGATCAGTTTACCACAGTAGAGGACCACTTCCTGCTGCAGTACTGCCTGAACCACATTATGGGCCTGGAACACATGGACACTTAAATATCTTTGGGTAAATTAATATGATGACAACAGCTAAGCATCTTGGGTAAGGAACTTAACACAGTAACGGCTGAACATCTTGGGTTAGGAACACGACACAGTAACAGGATGGTAAAAGGATGGTTGGACAATATCCCCAGATAACTTTAACATTTTCTGTCAGGAGATAAAGAACAAGTTGAGATCCTAGGGGGTATATAACCTACCTGAAGAGCCGGTGTGTAGAAGAGGTCGTGAATCTCTGCCGGCTGCACTGGTTTGTCTAGTAGTATCTCGTCCTTACCATATCCTGCTGTCAACTAGAATGACCAAAAATAAGTAAATAACCTTAGGCTTTAAAAATTGTATCAGTGCAGGACATTATATTTCACTACATTTGGCATTACAGCTTCAATGAAATCAAAATTTTCAGCAAAATTAAGCTAAAATTTACTCAAGCAAAAAACTAATTAATTGCAAAGACCAGATCATATGTACATGGCTAAACCAAACTTTGCTGCATCTTATAAATTAAAAATGGTTGTGGTAAATGTTCATGATGAGCAGACTTTAGTCATACAGTACATTATTTCTCAAGATAATCCTGAGTGAAACATTAGCTTAGGGATTTTCCACTAATGAGAGAAAGCAGTACAGTGGTCCCTAATAAATGTTCAAGGCTCAATAATAAAATGGGTCAAAAAGGGTGAAATAACACATTAGTGAAGTTAATGTCCTATGTGATAGTGGAGGTTAGGCTGGGGTATCTTGATAGCTTGTACAACACAAGTTATAAAAATAGGTAAACATGCCAATATAAATAGTGTTATTTACACTACAAACAAGTTAATTCTACTCATAAATACTTTAGACTAGTGATGGATGGTGATGATCAAGGCAGTGGGCAACGTCACCGGCCAAAAGACTGTTTAGTTTTTAGGCTGATTTTTTTTTCTGTCTCACTAGCAGCTTCATCACCAGTGGGCTGCACAAGGCACTGAGGAGCCATTATAACACACACAGCTGGCACAGCTAGAAGCTAATTGCATGTGTTGCATGGAACAGTGGTGACAATCCTAACATAGCAAGAGATACAGCAGCTGAAGCTCCTCCTGTCTTCTGGGAGGCAGCAATAGGTCAAATTTCTCGATTTTTTTCCTTTCTAGGTTGAAACTTTTTCTTGTATTTTAGATAGTTGTAGCAACACCAGAGGGCTGCACAAGGCACTTTAAAACTATTATAATACACTGCAATAGTATACTGAAGGTACTAATACAGCATAGAAGCTACAAAACCTGGTGAAAGGAACAGTGAAATTGTTTTAGCATAGTGAGAGATACAAGACAACTGAGGCTACTCCTTCCCCTAAGGCAGCAAGCAGGCACATCCAAGATGACTAAAAGAATACAGTACAGTACCCTAGCACAAATGTTCCAACACTGCTCTAATGAAAATTGACTGAACATCTGTGTAACACTCGTACATTATGTCTATTTGAAATGAGGGTAAAAATTCATTTGTTGAACATTTATATACGAGGCGTGTATGACCAGAGTGGACAAAGCGCCACTGTGGTAAAAATTGAGGGTGGCGGGTTGCAGATCGCAGAGAGGAACGCACCAGAAGTCTCCATTTTTTGGGGGGGCACCTTCTCCACTCTGGTCATGCGCGCCTCATATCATCCACTACCGAGACGCACATTTGTGAGGGATCACTGTAATATCTATACAAAGGATGAATGGAAGTTATAGTACACACTCGGTCATCAACACCAGCTCCACACCTAAGAACATTCAACCCTGACCGAGTTGATATAGAGAGCTTTCTCATACTGCACTGACATTTAATTGCTATAAGTTGCAATAGATATCTACTGTATAAGGAAGAGAAGGATTAAACCGTGAAATCCCAGTTAATGGCCGAGCACCATTATGCATGTCAAGTATACGCACACAGCCAGTTTTTCGGTGAAGGCCTAACAGACCAGTGCTCCAACAAGAACAGTAGAAACAAAGGTTTTCTTTCATGAACACCAGAAACAGAAGGCCTCAAAGAATATGTCACGTCACCTTGTGTGCACCTCATTATCATCTTTGGGTTGGCAATGATTATTTTATATTTATCAATTCCCATTCAGTTCGAACACACTTCTTAACTATCCCAATAGGAAGTCAGGAGGTTCTGAGCCACCTAGTTCTTGGCTTTATGTAAATCCTTCATTATTGGCCAGCCATCTTTCACTAAACAATATCAGTACCTTGAGCCAGCTAGAAACAGGTAGAGGTGGTACTAAATGTTTTAGATGTTATTGTGACATTGTAACCCAGAGAAAAGTTTAACTTTTATTCACGGCATCCAGCACCTTTAGTGGCCTTTGCTTCTACTCTCGCTCTCAGAAAGATAACTGCAGTGGGTAAAGTAGATCAATTGGAGTCACTTAAGTCAGGTTTCCTGGGTTTAGATGCCCTGTGAAGATGGTGGGTTATATATATACACCTGTACAGTATATACAGTATACATAATATCAGTGAAAGTTCAAACCACATGCATTACAATTCAAGGATAAAACATCGGACCATTTGGAAGGCGTCAAGAGTGCAACACATGCAAAACTCTTCCTAATTAATACATTTAAGTTATAAGTTCAACATCCAACCTCCCCTACCATGACAAGAATCATGCAATATTTAAAGATAGAGAAATATTATGTACAGTCATTGATTTAGAAAGAAATGCGACCCTGTCTAAGAGTTTTCACAAAACACTTATAATTCTACTCGGATCATCTGAGGACTTATATAAATATGCCTATACAATTTCATCATCTTTGTGAAATACCTAAGCACAATCCTATTAACATGCTCGTGTTGCCTGCAAATATAGTGACCAAGAGGCTAAATGAAGACTGATCCAAGAAATACCAAGTTATAGAAGAGTAAGGACAAGAAGACTCAAATACAAAAACCATCAAGTCTATGTTTTACAACCCAGACATGACAGCTCACACCATCAAATAATTAGTATAACTCTCGTCACAACCCTATCCCCCAGAGAGGGTTTTGGGAGGGGAAAGACGGAGAGTAAAATGTAGTCTTGGTGCTACAACAATTGGTGCATTCTAGTTCTCCCTTGTCCTTAATTAGCCATAAAGGATTTCCCAATAAGAATCTCAGTCCAGCTGTTACCTATGATAAACTGCTTGGAAAAAATTAACACCTTGATTGAGGTTTGTTACTGCATAATCCAAGATGGCTGATGTTAGATAAGGAATGGCTACAATGCTCAAGCTGCTGTAACACCAAGATTCATTTAGTTCTCAACCGTAAATGGTGACTTCCCCCCCCCCCCTCCCAGAAGGATAGGGGTGTACCAAGAGTGTTTTACATTTTGTATTAGTATACCAACCACAGAAGTCATGGTTTAGCCTGTGTTACAACTTATAGATTTTAGAGGTGCAGTATTTAGACACTTGGGCCGAAGTAAGGTTGTACACAAGTTTACCCTAAGTAGAAATTTGCCAAGCTTCTTACAAACTTTAAAGCAAATGCTGATACTACTGATGTACTGAAGACACTAAAGAACCAAAACTATAATTATTAATACATGTTTGTTTTTTTTAAGTTTGAATTAAGATGGTGCCTTACTATTTAACAGTATATTCATTAAGTAATTAACAAAATCCTAATATTATTTTTATACAAAACAATTATTAGGTCCAAGATATTCTTTATGTTGAAGTTAATCAGTAATCATACACACAGGGGACTCAATCCTGAAACACTACTTTATGAGAGTTGAACCAATGGCCGGTGACTATAACAGCTCACTAGAACCCCGTTATATATACTGTACATGATTTATTGCAGATGATACTGTAAGTGGATTCCTGCAATTGTCCAAGTTTGTCTGTGCATAAGTGTGTGTGATCATGCATTAATGTAGAGTGTTTATGTATACAGTAGTATGTGCAGGAGTGATAGTGTATTTAGAGGAGTGAATCCACCACACATCTACATGTTATCTCAAAATCCTGCACATGAACTGGCACTTAGCTGTCTCAGTTGATAAATGCATCTTTAGGTATCAAGTATTACTATGGGTTTACAGTTGCCAATACAGTCTCTCCTCCATTTACGACGGGGTTCCGTTCCGACGACCGGGTCGTAAGTCGAACCGACGAAAATAATACGTAGTACAGGTAATAATTGTAAAACTTTCACCTTTTTAATACACAAACTGAGCGGGATACGACGTGGATGCTGTACGCAAGCGGCAGCGTGCCAGCCGAAGTTGTCGTACGGCACCGTTAGACGTTACGACCAAACGTCTGGACTCAAAAATAATGTAAAATATTTGAATATAATATTACGGCGACGACCGTCTTAAGTCCGGGTTGTCGTAAGTCGAGGAGAAACTGTAGAGTACCTAGCTAAGGAAGAGTCCCAGTGTTATTCTTACACCTTCAGTTATGAGAGATTCATCAGGTAAACCTTTAGGAATTCAAACCTTTGCTCTAGTCTGTTTAAATTTAAGAGCTCTGTTTTAGCACAGTTTGGAAAAATGTTCAAGCCCAGTGTTTATTATTATTAATTTATTTTTATTTATATATTTATTTTGTGTAAAATTTTGGCTTTGCAATCTGGTCAGCAAACCTCATACCTTGAGTTGGTGAAAATAATTGTTGTCTATGAAACAATTATCAACATATGTTTTCCTGCATACCATTTAGTTATTGCTTCACAGGCAGGAATAATAATTCAGAAAGCTTAAACTTTTAGCAATAATTCTTAGTACCCCGTAGTTAAAAAATGCCAGACCTTATCCACGAAGCATCATTTTGACCTTTTTCTTTTTATAAATAAGTGAACAAAGAGACACTTCCCATTTCATACAGAGGAAAGAGCTTCAGGCATCTTGTAGGTTCTTCAACATTTACAGTACCTGCTCTGATATAGAATAAGATCTGGGTCCTCTTCATAACAGGGATTTGGTGTCTTGCCATGACCATATACACTGTTTTCATTATAATCACTATTTGAGCTTCACCAAGTATCAGCCCGAGTCATCTATCAATAGTGAACAATCGTAATACAAAATTTATATGTAGTAATACACATCTAAAGTGAATAAAAGTAGCACACAAGACAAAAGTGAAAACAGTAGGAATATAAAACCATTATGGGAGACCTTTACTCAGCATTACCTGTTTTCCTGATACCAAGATAGTGGTGATGTAAGGTGAGATTGACTCCACCTCCTTGGAGAGTAATGCATTACACTCTCGTACTCCAGCCCAGTATCGGAGAGAAGAAGCCTGACGGAGTAGTGCGCATACTCGGTCTTGAACTGATGAAGGAGAGGAGAGGGCAGCATGCGTATAAAATAAGAAACTAGTCATCGGTTAAGCAGACGGGAAGAGACAGTGGGAAAAATAACCACCAGTTGGTTGTCAGCTCAGAACATAAGCACCACCATCACACCTCCAATCAAACACCACATACTCAAGCACCACTATCAGATACACCATTTTCCCAGCTAATACCCCATGTCAGATTGTTTAAAGTAATACTGGCTGGGTTACAGACCATTCTTTTCAAAACTTAAGTACTACTGGAAAACATCTTTTCTTGGAAGTATAATGTATAAATCTGACCAAATACCTTGACGACATTAATTAATGAAATTCGAAGCACAGTGGAACACACAATGAGGTTTGTGACTATGTTGGCACCCCTGACATTGGGCTTCGTAACACATTTCCCCGAAGAAAAACACAATAACGTACATTTATAAGTTAAAGCACCATTACCGGTTACCTTGTCCTTCCTCTACAATTTTTTTTCTTATTTAATACACCATTTCCCCCACTTGTCACTTTACTAGCCGATCGGGTGGTCAGTCTGTTCTTTGTTACCATCTTCAGTGTCCGGTGAGAGTACAGGAGGAAACTGTAGTACCCGGAGAAAACTTGCAATGCTTGATAGGATCGTCCTTCTCACATGTCCCATGGATTAATCTTGAGACACAGTAGTGAGAGGCAAGCATGCTACCACTGTATTGTTTCTTTCACCATCAGTAAACTCAGCTGCACATTCCAGCTTAAAGTTTTGTGCAGTAGTAGTCTAATAGCAGCAGCAGGGAGGGTGATAAGAACTTCAATTTGCAATCTTTTCACTGAGCAATTTACAGCTTTTGTGAGTACACTACTGCACAGGTACTTAGTTGCTAGACACCGCTTTTGTTTCATTCATAAATTTCTTTTAATTTGGGAATGGAAATTAACAGCAAAGGTTATATTACACCCTTGCAATTGTATTACAGCAATAGACACAGATGTAGTACTGATAGAAATACTAGCTGATAGTGGAAATATTAATAGTAGTTTTAATAGTAAAAGCAACTATGTACAGTAGAAAAATGATAACCATCGATGTAAAGGTTTGGTCAAGTTTTGGTTAGATGTAGCCATATGTGCATAAGCTACAAGCATTTTTGGAGAAACTTTAGCAAAATGAGACAAGTCAGCTCAACCAGTCTCACCCTACGTTCTGGTGGCTTTGTCAGTAGACCCTCTTTAGTAGAACTGAGGGTAGTGAAAAGTGGCTCCCATAGGAATGACTGAAGGTTAGGGACAGTGTGGATACAGCACATCTTCACCAGGAACCCTTCGTGGGTGATGGCAATAAAAGGAGAGGAAGATGGATGGGTGGTGGGAGGGGACCAGTAGCAATTTATAGATGATGGTATTTGAAAAGGCACATGTAAATAGAATGAATGAAGTACCAAAAGATGATGAATATACATAAAATAACTTAGATAGTAGACAAACTATATTGGGAAATGGGGAGACACATCTACCAGGAGGAGGAGGAGAGTGGGAGAGATAAGGAATGATTGGTTGGGTGGAATGAATTAAAAATATAGTGGAATAATAATATAGAGTAGAGGGAGATAACTTACAGCATGCAGGGTGAAGGTGGAACAACTCATGAAGTACAGAACAGGTGAGGAAATAAGCGAAATGGATTAAAATTTACGCTCCCAGATATTCATATTACTCTGTCGTGGCCATCCCCTACGTGGGAGTTCCTCAGAGTAGATGTCCGATATAAAATATTCGTATTGCAATTTCCTATATGGTTTTGGGAAGGATGCATTTTTATCCCGACTAGAGCGCCATTTACCGTACGTTGGGCAAAGTCCCCATTACATCATAGTGTACTCAAACCAGCCATAACTCTCATCAGATTCATCACAACTCTTGCTTTAATATTCTGTGTCTTTATAGTTTCAGGTTCCCCTTAAATCAATCTTAACTGTTTAACCTACAACAGTGATCTCTCTTAGATGCAGGACAGACACATAACACAGATGAAAAGCATTCATATAAACTATTCCTAAGACGGCAAGTGTTTTGTCTTAATAACAAAATAATTGACTTTTAGCAATGCTGAATGTACAAGGTAAGTGCATATGAAGGTTCCAGTACCCAAGTAATATGTAACAATGCACTTCATACAATTACTCAAAGTGTTAATCACCTCACTATGTTTCTGTACACTATTCCTAAAATTATTGACAGATTATGTAAAATGGACAAATTACAATGTCAAAAACATTATCCCACTGACATGTTCTCTTTACCCTTAAAGGGCGAGAAACGGAACAAATAGTGTAAGATAATGTTGCTCAAATACATGTAAGACGCGCCCTAATTGAGATACAGTGGGGTATGCTATAACGAACGGATCCTACTACGAATATTCCTATAAATCTAACGGTTTTACTTATAAAATTGAGAATGCTATAACGAACGAAACTCCTACAACTATAACATATTTTAAAAAAAAAAAAATTTTTTTTTACTAATTTATTGTTTTTTTATTACAAATATTAATGATATTCTTTATTTCAGGGGTTTAGATGCATATTTATGCACTTTTTTACAATTTTTACAATTTTATATTATATTTTTCAGTGTTAAGTGGTTGTATTTGGGGGCCTGGAACGGATTAATCCTATACGAACGAATGCTATAACGAACAAGGTTCTAGAACCAATTAGATTCGTTATAGCATACCCCACTGTAGTTATTTTACCATTAGAAATCTGAATCTTTTTTCTACAAATTCATATTTAATCAATAAATACAAGAAATAATAATTTTTCGGAGAAATCCTGAGCTGAACTGGGAATACGTGCTTTGCCGGCTCAGGAGTGACCTGCCAGCGTCGTCACAGACACCAGACGACAACACAGCCACCCAAACAATGGCCGCCCTTCACGCGTTTTCTTCTCAAATGTCATATGACGTCTGTTGTCCTTTGAGGGTTAAACACCAAATTTGCCAAAAAAGCAAGTACTGTAGAATTGGTATGATTCATGATCCTACACTATACAGTATTTGACTGCAATAAGGCAAGGTGTCAGTTTATGCCAAATGGTACCTTTTGTTGTAACCTCCGACCTTTCGACCCCAAAACACAGCACGGTAAACTTAACGGTAAGAGTACCGTAACTCCTTCCAATCACGAGTTATGTTGGTAACATACTCAAATAAATAAATAAATACAGACAGTGCCTGAGCTATGAAAGCCTGCCTTACGAACCCCCACCATTTATGAAAGGGATCCTAATACTGTATATCCATCACAAAAATTGGTAACTAAAATAATTTTGTTTTATTACTTTCATTATTGTATAATGTTTAACATAACTTTAATTATACTATTTAAATTATTTGTTATGTATGGGATATTATTAGTGATTTGTATGGGCAGAGTTCTAACTAAAATCCCATTTTTTACATGACTTTATTTTTTTTAACATAACTTTATTTTCAATATTTACATTATTTGTTATATATGGGATATTATTTTTGTTTTGTATGGGCAGAATCGTGCTTTAACCTAACCCAAACTATGGAATTAACACTGTCCCGACTACCGTGTACAGATTGACTTACGAACAAAGGATCGGCAATGTAACTCGTCCGTAACTCGGGGACTGCCTGTACGTGCAGCACTGACCATCCGCTCGCTCAACTTTGTCAACGCAGATAACGACAAACTACAACTCAATAATTGCCAACTTTTTCATTCCTCTTCATCACTTCCCTTTACCTGTACCACCTCATCATTCTTCCCTACAATACTTCAACTCTCTGCTGTGTCAGCCTGGTGAGACAAACAACACTGTTTACATGCTCTACCACAAACAAGGTTATCATCAAATCAAGACGTACAGTATTATATCCTTCAACCCCATCACTTCACCTTCAAGACAGGGTGTTAGGTGTAAGTAAAAGGTGACAATGTTTTAATGGTACAATACACATTGAAACATTGCTCCTTCAACAAGCTTACACAAATTGTCGTATACATCATGTAAGATACCACTTTTCATGCATAACCAAATCATTGTCATTGAAAGGAATACATTTCATTGCATCACCTATGTATGGATTATACTATACAGCAAAACCACGACCCAGACCCATGCACAAGATGTGACAACACTCCTTCAAGCCTTTTCCCACTTAAAAATAATGTTTACAAAAGCAAATATACTCACATTTTTCCATCATTCAATGTTAATCATTCACTCCTATGGCTGTAAAGAATGTGTTCAGCAAGGGTACTCCAGACATTATTTCTTCATAATGTAATGTGAAAAATCTGTGCAATGTTGATAGTACAGTATCGACGAACAACTAAATAACTGTCACCAGAACTCAATATAATAATATAATAATAATAATAATAAAAGACAGAGGATCCAGGGTAGGGGGAGGCAAGCAAGAAGCAGCAAGACAGGCATCAGAAAAGTTCAATCTGTATGACAAAAAATAAATAACAAAAGACCTATAGTACAGTAAGTCCTCGTATAACGTCGGCCCGCTTAACGTTGTTTCTGTACTACGTCGCTAATCTTTAGTGACCAAAAATTCGTTAACGTCAAGATGACTAGGTACAATGTCGTTTTGCGTTGTCACGGACTACATTTACGCCGCATCACCCTCTCTCCTTTCTCGGCTCGGCAGTCTCGGTGACTCGCGGCCCTCCTCCTCCCCGGCCCTCCTCCGCTCCTGCCATACTCCCCCCTCCCGCTCCACTACCCACCACACACTCGCTCTACCACCTCCGCCCATCAGTGAGTATCAATACAAACTTAGTTGTACATGTATGCACTATTTTCTACAGAAATGGCAATGATTTTCTGTATATGTAATGCATTTCATGGGGCAAAGGGAGGCTCAGGAATGTATTTTATCTATTTCTTAAGGGGAAAATTGATCCACTTAATGTCGTTTCGTATAACGCCGAATTTTTAGGAACGTAACCCCGACGTTAAGCGAGGACTTACCGTATTGACATTTCACTTTTCTTCACATTTTTAAAAGGTTACGAGACTGATACCTGTACTCAACGAGCTACACTTACTTAATGAGAACTCAATATTTCAGCTTCTACAACTACAGGTATAGACTTTAGATCAACAGGCAAGAAGACTAACTCTACATATTTTCTTACATGCTCCATACACCATGATAAGGCACATGTCTGCAGATTCCTCAAATGAGATAAATACCTTAAATTTAGCCTATTTTCTGTGGGGTGGATCCGAGGGTACTTGAAACTTAAAAGGAACAGTGAAAAGTTATACTGTATGTGGATGAGTATAACAACAACAATAATAATAATAATAATAATAATAATAATAATAATAATAATAATAATGATAATAATAATAAATAAATGGGTATAGTTAAAAAATACATATAAGGAAACTTGGTGTATTTGTAAACAAGAGATTCTCTACCACGATTAGAGCTTTAAGAAGGCAGCTTATAATTATGATGCAATGTTAAGTGAACAAGCAGTGTATACAGTAAAGATTTATGGGGTGGCTATAGAGAAGAAAAATAATTTGGGCTAATATTAAGCAAGAAAGGAGGAAAAAAAATTATTGCTAAAGTGAATTAAATTATGTGAATTAACGCTAAACGAGGGATACCTGTGTAAAAAGTTATAAAGGACTTGTGTTATGGGAATGAGAAGGTGATGTGACTTTCTGACACGAGGTACACTAAGGAAATTGCTGAAGCAGATTGAAGAATGTACAGTACAGGTAATTATAATAAGAGTGATCAGTGTGCATCTATTTGAGAGAGACATTACTTGACGCACATAGAGGTGGAAGCTAAAGACTGGGGAAAGATAATGCAGTACAGTACATAAATGCAGCCTCACTAAAGTACTAATTAAATAGCTATAACTCTGTAAATAGTCAACTACAAAAAGATAATTACAGGAATTAAAATAAAATTTACGGAATAAATTATTCAAATACACGCACAAAAAAATCCTAATAATGAGGAGTCAGCAGATATGTGCCTTAGGTCTACTCTCTAGACAGCTCTACAAAAGCCATAATTCTTTAAAGCAAGGACAAGAATGTATGATACTGTACCGAGATACTGTACACTTAAAGAATGCAGTACACAAGAATGCACGGTCTTCGTAAAATATTATACAAGACATTTATAAATGTACTGCACTCTAATTTTCTGGTATTTCATATTATGATTTGGGATATGTGTGAAACATGGGTAACCAGGAATTGGCCTTAAGCTCTGCCAACCCACACTGGTAGGTGTTGGCTAGGAAGCAGCAGCGATGCAAAATGGTCTCTCGGGGAATGAGTGAGTGAGTCAGCTGGCAATCACTCGGCATTTATCTCCCCAAAGATGGCTGATGCAGCAAAAAATCAGAGAACCCAGAATATTATTAGGGCCAAGTTAGGTGAGGAAAAAAAGAATGTTATAAGGTGGTTGTTTGAAAAAACAAATTAAAGGAGACAAAGATAACTGAATAACACAGTTTAAAAGGAAGAAGGATCATGAAAAAGACTTGAATGGTGTACAAGTACAGTCACCCGCAAAAGTCCTGTCGCCTCTACTCCCGAACCACGAGCCCCGATATTCAGACTCGTGAATCCGAAGCATTCACGGACATAATAATGGATCGGCGTCTACTGCTTCGCGTTCACGAGTCTGAATCTCGGGACTCGTGGTTCGGGAGTAGAGGCGACAGGACTTTTGTGGGCGACTGTACAACAGCAGAGACACAGAAAAATTCTAAGACAGAAATTTGATTGACTGACACTAATGTGATATTGTAATATACAGTACAGTATAAGGTAGAAGATTTAAATGTACTCCTTCAGACCTCTGACTATGGATATCCTAAGACTTACATCCCTGTAATCATTGTGTCATGATGTGAAAAGCAATTCCAGTGTTTATTGTACATTCAATGCTAACCAGTGATAGTGGGTTGGATACAATGCCCAGTTTCAAGGCTCTGTATACGTATGTGAACATTTTCCTATAGGAGAGTTCATTTGACATAAGCATGTCAAAACTCAAGTAAAGTTTCTAAGTTTATCTGAGTATTTCACACACTGATGCACCAAACACGCAACACAGCAAAGTTTTAGCACAGCAAAGTTACAACTGCAAAAAAATGCATACAAACTGATACAGAATACTGTATGAAGTTTGAGATAGGCAGTGAGTCACAGTCACCTGACAACCCTGCACCAAAATAGTGGTGATGTGCGACACAGACGGGTAGAGTTTGTTGAGGGTGGCGGCCGCAAGACGCATGGCACCCCAGAAGTGGCACTCGCTGACCTCCTGCAGCAGTCTCTCCAGCCTCACCTCCACTAAAACCTTACTCTAATTAAACTAGGTTCTATGCACTACAACTCTCAATAAGATCTTATCACACTACTCTGTGTTACACACAGCTTATGGTAAGGTATTGGATTAATTTTTTAATAATAAATTTTAAATTTCATTAATGGCTAATTAAACTATGATCAACAGTCAATTTTTACTTTAATCAATTATCTATAAAGAATTTGTGGAATAAACTTAACTACTAAAAGACAGTTATGAAAACTACTGCACATTAATAGAGTAGACAGGAGAGTGGTGATGTGACCAGAGACAAAATACTGCTATCTTTCACAACATTTACACACACAGTGCATCAACACTATGAATGATTTCACAAAGGTTTCGCATTTTTAGAATCTACTTCAAACATTTCAATAACAGATCAGCACATAATTTCCCCAGTGAGAAGTAAATAAAGTATTATTTATGATACAATATATTCTGTACTAAAACAAAATAGGCAAATTACAGTTTTATAGTTCATAACTCTTATCTAATTATTAATATTTAGTAATACTTTCATCTCAAGCAAGCCCTTTCATATTTGCCAAAGGATTGTTATCACCGAGAACAACACCGACTCTCACTTGCTGTCACTCATTACATTCTAGCTGCCTTATCTGATGTGTTTTGCTGTAGTGTTCCCCTCCATAAAGCCCCAAGATTTCTATTGGGAGTTACTTGGTCACTTCAAACCAAAAATCAAGTAAATTTTCCCAACTTCAAGCAAGAAGTTAACTCCAACATCTAAACATTCCTAAATTCCAAACATTCATATACCATAACATTCCACTGGTTCCCATTTTCCCTCATTCTTTCTGGTAAGTGTACTTTCATTTTATTCTCGGTATCCCTGCACGCCCCCTCCCTTCCATCGCACTCGACATTATCCTCAGCATACCATCCTAACTGCCTCATAAAACAGTATACATATAAATATAACCCAGCTGGCTATCCTACCATCCAAACTAAACACAGGACCAATTCACTATATATTTTAACCACACCTTTTTCCATTCTTGCAAGTTCTCTCCTGAAGGTATATGCATTCTCCCACCATATGCTATTATTTCTTCTCACTTAAATGGCATAAGAATGTGTTCATCATGGTCTCAGAGGTATCCATCTAAAATATCCTCGTCACTACACATATGATATACAAATTATTTATTCTATTTCATTTCTCATGAAAGCCCGATACCATAACCTACAGTAGGTAGGTTAGCGGCCCTATGACAAATATCCCTTTTCTTTTTACACAACCTTCCAAACTGCTTAACTTTTAATTGTAACTTGTCATCATTATCATCCCATTTTTTTATCCTTACAATTATTTCCCACTATCATACAAGGTGTCTAGAATCAGCAACATACATGGATACTCCTTTCATTCCTTTCATGTTGTAACTTTCTTGAAACAACAATTAATAATGTGACAAACAGGACAAGTATTAACACACAAAACTATACCTGCATGTTGTCACCCACCTACTGAAATATATATATATGATATTCAACCATGTTATATCAAGGTATAATACTGTGTGTCAACTCTGTACAAAATCCGGTAAATTTCAACAAGAAATAATCCCAGCATCAGTTACTTTTGATAAGATGAAGCAAAATAATATAATATCATTTGATTCAAAGTATGAAAATAATTTATAGCATGTCAAATCACTCTGCAGTACATCTCTCTTGAGTACTCTATTATTCTACATTAAAGTTATGTTTATGCGAGTAATTTGTCAAAGAGAAATTAGATTATCACTAACCTGAAACACCGTCCACCTGGAAGTTTCGCCCTTCCCGTCGAAGGAGGATTCCCAGTAGCTGAGTCTGGCCATGCAGAGTTGAAACTGACCTCAGTACACTAAGGACTTCTGGGGTTGGTTGTAAACCCATATCCTGTGAAGAACACCCTATGTAGTCAAAACTGATCAAAGGTTTAAGAGCAGTAATCAACTAGGTTAATGAGTTAGCTCCACCATCATTGATTCAGCTTCTGCAATTAATAATTTGCTGAGAGACAAAGAGACAGAGCTGCTGAGATCAAATTAACCAAGGGAAAGCAGGCCCTAAAAAGACCCAAAACATACATTAGCCAAGAAGCTGTACGCACAATGAAGTAGCCGACAGTGGGTAAGGTAAATTTGGCTATAACGGGATTTCTAGCCAATAAGGAATCCCAACCAACTGACTTGGTTAAACCTCTGGGACAGCTAGGAAGATATAAGTGTAGAGTAACAGCAGCATTACTGGACAAAAATGGACACAAAGATAATACCAAAGGCTTGAAAGAGACTGTAGGTCTTTTATTTAATAAAGGAGTAAAATTGGCTGATAGGAACAATAATGCTGATGTAGTTGGAACAATTCAACTCATCATTGGGTCTGATTATTATGGAAAATTTTTGAATGGGGTTGTCAATAAATTTGGAGTTCAAAATTCTCACCACTGCAAGGAGGAATTTAATAATGAGTCCTCTACCATTCAGTAAGCCTGTTAGTCTCTGAAAATAAGTTGGTGGAACCGGTACATAATTTCACCTGGTAATAATGATAAACAGATGTTGGAATATAAACTCAATATAAACAATACACAGAAAGATGATTCATATCAGGTAGAATAACAATACAGTATATGTGTGATAAGGCTTTAAAAATAAAACGTATATGAGGAAATATACATACAATACTGTATATCGTTTCTCACTATTGATCTTTTTTTTATTTGTTTTTAATTAATGGTCCCTTATTATTATTATTATATTATACCCCTGTATTATATTATATGCTTATTCAATATTTTTCTATTTATTTTTTTTTTGCCTGTTGGTGTTGGACCTTGAGGCCAACAGACCCGCTGAAAGTTGCCAATTTGTTTATTTAATAGAACTTACTTGCTATTACGACGCATTAAAATTTGACGCAATTCTGTTGAATATGTAATTTTTGGCAAATTTTTTAAAGTTTGGCGACTCGATTTGCATCACCGTGAAGATGGTCTTATCGTGCGTGAGAGAGTTAATGTTTGCATAGCAGAGTATTTCCACTCCTACAAGTTGAGGCTCACCTTAAAGCTCATTGAATCCTCAGAGTAGGTGATGGCAGTTGGGACATCGGTGAGTGACTGATAACCGATGCTGGCATGCTGAAGCTGCTCAAATGGTGTGATGTCCAAATCTATGTCCATGGCATTCATGAAGTCCAAATGCTCTGTACAATGGGATAAAATACAGCCTTTTATAGTTTAGTACATTGTAAATAGAAAGAATATCACAAAATACTTATTATAAAGATATTCAGTAACTGAGAACTGGTCATAAGATGTGTCAAAATGTTCTCTCATGGTTTCAGGTCAAACAGGCCCCAACCCAACCTGACCCCCAATTCTACTGGTAAGTTTTTCTAATGCCGGGGCCTCTTAGGGCTCAAGCCACTTTGACCCGTTACCTTCTTCCGTGAGTGAGATAGTCAGGATCTGTATTCTAGCTAATGCAGCTGAACACAGAGCATCTCACAAAAAAGATAAGTGTAAAGACTTGAATTAATTAAACAAAGTCAAAGGTGACTGATGCTTCTTTCACTGGTCCTCTTATAAACTGCTATAACAGATGCATTCCATCATGGTATTCCATTTCATAACAGCAACATGTCCAACTGTCCATCATGTAAAGTGTTCTGTGAGAAGGCCGAGTCTGCTACCCTTACCATTAACAGTTGGGGTGCTAAAACTCCCTTAAATCCAGACCAATTCAACCCAGGAGTGGTCTGGATAAGTGAGATGTCTAGATTGGATCAAAATTCCTTTACATCAGTTACTTTGTTCAATAAATATTTAGATATAACCAAAAATTATAACACTAACACGCACAAAGACACGATCACGGATGAGAGTGTGTGTGGCGGTGTGCACATAAACATAAAGATTATTTAACGTTTTTCTTTCTAGCTCATACAAGATCTATCCCACAACAACAAAGGATGCACCAAATTAGCAACACACACTCCCCAATTACTCTCTATCATTTTTTCTTTCTCGCTGCACAACTGACACGTAAAGAACTTATTATATTCCATTAAATCAACACGTCAACAAATATAAAAGTGAATAATTACCAATACAGGAGGACGCAATAAGGTTCTGGAGTCTGCCCGTACGAATCTTGAGACCATCACAGTAGCCAGACTTGAGCATTGCTAAAAGATCCAGCAACTCACGGAAATGAACATCCCTGGAGAACAAAATATAGATTACCTACAGCACACTCAGTAGGGTTTTTCATATTGTTATACAGAAAAACCCTAAAGGAGATATGAAAAAAGTATAAACCAAGGCTTATGTGATTTGGGTCCTTAAGCAGAAGAGGCTAAGATACTTTATATAATACTGAGTTAATAATATTAGTACAGGTATTATCAAACAAAAGGAGATACTATGGGACTTGTAACTTCCCAATAATATGGAGAAAAAAGAAACAAAGAAAACAATTTTACACACCTCATATGCTCCTCTCGGATAAGAATGCAAACAGTGGGGCGACCAGACAACCTCCAATATTTCCCGACAAAGTGAAGTTCTGTCTTTATGTCATCTATGAGAAGAGCCATGTCATGTGAGAGGTAGAAGTCACTTACTTCAAACACCAGAGGATAGCACAGTACTGTCTGCCCACAAACACGATATATCTGTCAAAGTGGGAAATAATAGTGAGACTTGTAATCAAATTCAAAACAGTATTTCTTTTATAATCTTGCTTCTATGAAAAAGAAACAATTCAGTCAGAAAGATCAAGAATGAGTAAATGGTCGAGTAAAATAAGAGTAGGTAGTGATAGAAGGCCAAGAAACAAACTGTATATATTTATACTTTTATCATGTCCTCAACACACAAAAGGAGACTCCAAACACCCTTTATCCTTGTATCTCCCAGAGTCAGTTCAGGTTCACTACACTAATGCTCTCTAATGAGGATGTTACACTATATAATTCAATTGATATTTTTTTTACCTCAGTAGTCAGTCCATTCTTCAGGGTAGCTCTTATAGAACCTTTTAAAAATAATAAGAATAAATCTATTACCCCATATTTTAATTTTCAATGTCTTTTTTAAGGCTGCATGAGGTACGTACAACAGTCGTGCAAAGTGAGTACTGTATAAAATAACAATTAAGAGATATATACTGGTAACTGATGATTCAATGCAAGTCTTTGGTTATTCCCCAGTTCATATGGATTTTCTTTTGTAACTTGATTGAGGGTTTTTACACTTTAGGAGAGATCTCAGAATTAAAGCCATATTTCAGCTTCAAATTTCAATAACTGAATGTTGTCTAAAATCTCTCTATTCTCCTGTTACCTATGTCTCCTACTGAGTTCTAGCCCTAGTGGACATAATCCATTTTAACTATTAAGACTCATGAAGACAGGTCCATTTGGATTGGGCTCAAATCCTCATAGTTAGGTTAGGTTGAAGCCCAGTATGGTTGGGTTCCATTTAACCAATCACTGTAACATACAATCAGTCATACAATTTATATCAGCATTTAGTAATAGATATAACATTACATTACCTTGCTCGTCCCTAATGCACCAATGGGCCGAGTTGGACGACCTCCCAGACCTAATTTTTCGCTGACGCCAAGATTTTGATAGACTTTGACCAATTCCTTGGGAGGCCAAATTTGTACTGGTTCTACTTCATGTGGAGTCTGAAATATATATGTATACACAGATAATACAGCAGGTGTATTTAAAAAATATTAATGGATATGACATAAAGACAAGAAAACCTGATACTCCCACCATATTCTCGGTCTGCTCTTGGCTCTCCTCCCCTCCAAATTTACACTCGTGCATCTCTTAACTCAATTGATCTCATCCATTCTCTTCACATGCCCAAACCATCACAGCCTAACTCTACACATAACTTTGCCAATACTCTCAATACACAGCTGCCCTCTAAGCTCTGAACAAGTCCTCCTGTCTTTGAATTGTAACAGTTTATTTCGCCAGAAAAAAATACAGATCCAGAGTGGATAATAATAACAATATTAACATGGCTGAGAACCTGAGCTCTCAGCATTACATTGCATATTCACCTCTATATTCTCATTTCAGTTTGTTCAAGCCATTATGTAATCTTCTTTAACTGACCATGTTTCACTGCCATACAACATTAAACTTCTTACGTCAGTTATATACATCCATACTTTCATGAAGAGGGAAGGTCCTCTTGCCGTCAACAATGGCAGCAGCTTCCTAGATTTCCTTCAGCCACATATAACTATTGCTACTGAGCTTGTTTCAGCACCCCCTCCAGCACTGATCACGTCATCCAGGTAACAGAACTCGTCAACAAAGTGGCAAAAAGAAACTTGCCCAGTTTCACACAATACCCATTCATTACACAATAGTTCAAGAAGAGTGGACAACTCGCCAACTGCAATGCCTAACCATTACCTAGGAACCCGATCCGCAAATCGATTAACATCCAGGTTCCCAATTACTGCTGGGTAGACAGAGGCAAATGGCATAAAGAAATTTGCCCATAGTTTCACACAATACCCAACCCATCACACAATATCCTAACATCAAACCACCTGATACTCTCTGGTCATACGTACATATCATTGCCGTTGGTTAATTTGCAGGAAAACACAAAGACCACACCTGAGTTTGTATACCATATGTTGCCATCATCGCCTGCAGTCTCATGCTCTCTGCAATCAGGACCACTTGTACTACTAGATCACTTGCTGTTCCCTGTAAAAAAATATTATAAGGAGATCTGAATTACAGGTTTGCTATATTATACAGTATTATAATCTAAAGTTTTAAGCATAATGTTAAGGTGTTTCATGAACTGACAATGATCAAAGTAGGTATTTCAGCACAAAAATATCAATAAAAAAGTGATTTATTAATAATGTTAATGCCTCTATCTATCAGGTAACTAGCGATGTGTTTACTTCTGGTGATGTGAGACACGTGATCAGGAAGGATAACTGGTCAATGGTCAGACAAAGGTAAGGATTAATAAGTGCAGCATGCTTTATAACCACTTCCTGACCACTCAACATTATGGGCACAGCTGACAAATTCCACCATACTCGAATAATTTCCATTTTATGCTCAATATGAATACAGTGTTGTGGTGGATTTTTTGGGTGGATGAAAAACTTAGATCACTTTGCCCAGACAGTGTTCATCACCAGAGAACAAGATGAGAGGACTAGATAATGCCTTCACTTAACCTTATTAACAGAACAATGATAACTGTATATTGATGTAGAAGCTTAAACCAACTTAACATCAAGTCAAACATCAGTGATAAATCTATGAGCACATGCTTTATTCCATTCAGGAGTAATGTGGTAAAAGATATGACACATAATTAAGATTAAAAAGTAAATAAAGCAGTATAATGCAAACACTTATCAATTTGGTATGAGCCAGTGAATGCATGGCCTTGAGATGTGCTAGTTCTGTCAATGTAATTTATATATACAGTAGTGTACAGTATCACATAATTCTCCTAAAATTTTTAATATTCAACCCAAGTTCTATAAAATACAATTTGAGGTATGTACACAAAACTACAAAATTACATTATGAATTATGAGACAATTCTGACTGTTAACCCCTTAACTGATATCGTGTTCAGATGATTTAGCACAAAACCACCATCACCATTTTAAGACAATTGGCATTTGGTGCCGTGAATTTAAAGCTGTGCCTAAAATCATACTGTACCATGAATGGAAAGTCGATCATTGGAATTATTTATGCCTCGTCGCCCTCCCCCTTCCTCCTGCCCTCAGTGGCCCCTCACAGAACTTTAAAGTTACATTTCAACTGGATTTTCTACGTATGAAGTCTGCACGAGAATAATAATAATAACCAAATAGGGTGACTGGGGACATAATAATGCTCAATGTTAAAAAAGTTTGTGGTCATCCAGTCTCAAACATGTGCGTCTTAATGTTAACACGTACAGTACACGTCCATAACTTACAAATTTCTACATTTACGCTAATCACGGCTTATGGTTTTAGCTACACTAAAGAATACCCAAACAAATTCATGGTTACCTAAAAGATGTTTTAAAGTATATAAACACAACTAAACCTGGACACCTGTATGTGGTGAGAAGCAGTGGTTGCATTTTTGGATGAGAGAGGATGTCACTGCTGAAATTTACTCACTGGTACACAATAGTACGACAAGAGATCAATCCCTATATTACCAAAACCTACTGTATTGACGACTATATACTGTAAACAAATTTATCTTTACAGTGAAATTATATTAATTTCAGGTGGCTGACAGCTGTGGTGTTGGCAGCTGGAAATAGTCATGCCTTAGCAGTGAGGGAGCAGAGCCAGTCCAGTGCATGCAGACTCACTTTCTTTACCAACAATGCTTGGCTAATACAAGCAGCAGAGATTTTTAGTTCTCGTGAGTACAGTACAGACTATATACAGTTTCCACTATCACAACAGAATTCATGTTTTATATTATCTAGTTACACTTTGGGGTCAAAATTCTTTGGGCTTGAGAACATCTCGGTGTATAACATTGGTTTCTGGGTCAACAATTTTTTATCTGGAACCCTTATTGGCTTTTAACACAAAAGTCTATGGGGAATTGGATCCCATTTGGCAAGGATTCACCTAACAAGCACTGTTTCAAGATTATATCTCTCTTATTAAGTGGGACCTTAGAGTATAGGAAATTTAATGGCAGACAATAAATTACTTGAGCCAAAAAATAAATTACAATTACATGACTTTACAGAAATATCAATAAGTTTGCAATAAGTCATCATTGCTCATAATACTGTACAGTTTCTAGTCATCTCTACTTATTTCTAATCAATGGGTTTTATTTCATCGAGACAGAATTCTAATAACCTAATGAGATCTTAGAGGTGACTGCCCTCATAGTCAGTAAAATAATATAAAGTGGTAAAATATGTGAGTACAGTGCTAAAAAAAAAGACCATCACAAGCTATTTTGATGATAAACCTAATGATATGACTTTTATTCATTAATATTCAGTGACAAACATGCCCAATGACTCAACATCCACTAACCAGTTTTTATAATCTAAACATTAACAAAGTATTATTGTCATTCTATTCTAAAAATAAAAAAATAAATGATCAAAACTGCTGGAACATCATAAATAAATAAGAGGAAATACCACCATGCACCACATTATTTGTCTTATTAGTTTATACAAGGAACTTCTATAATTCCCGAGATCACAAGCACCTTCACAGCCTAGAGCTTCCACTATGGCCACACCAATCCAGTGCTACTACAGAGAAGATATGGCATCACAGGCAACTTATATGCACTACCCTGTACAGAAGCAATAGTAGTTTGTACTTACTTTGTGATTCTTGCTCTACAAAGGGGTGGAAAAAGCATAAGATTTCATAAGATTTTTGAGTTGATGATCCACATAGCACAGGGATAATACAAGGGGAAATAAGTAGAGCATAAGGATAATACAGGGGAAAATAAGTAGAGCATCAGGATAATACAGGGGAAAATAAGTAGAGCATAGGGATAAAACAAGGGAAAATAGGTAGATTTTTTTTTATCATGATTATGGAAATACAAAAGGAGTTAAAAAGATCTCAATGGATGGTTCCCAATTATATATATATATATAGTATAGTATATAAAAAGACTATGCCACTCGTCAATCAGCAAACATTACTTAGCAAGGAATATACACTCGCAAGAGAGCTTCAATAACTTCAACAACACACTCACAAAAGCTCCATGCTCACATACCACCATAAAGGAAGAGAAGTGATGCAAGCAAACAACCAACAGTTAATTCTACTCAAGTGCCAGTTAGTTAAGTGAAAAACTGGCTCCCCAAAAATAGGAAAGGAAAATAAATATATAAAAATAATGGTGACTTGAGAAAAATGAAAAGTGTGCTGATGCATCTTTGTTCCTTCTGAGAAATAGTGGATGACGTATAGAGCACCTTAGAGGGATAGTGCACGGTGCAATGATACATCCTGGTTTCTTCTCAGAGGGACAGTGTATCAAGGTAATTCATTTTCTTTTGCAGAATGGGAGTGGGAAGTGTACTGGTGCCTCTTGTTATCTTTTGTGGGATACTGGCTGGTGTATTAATGGATCTTGTTTTTCTTTACGGACAGAGAACAGTACGATAGACAGGTACAATACAGAGCCTCAAAAACAGAAATTTTCCTCTCTTGCTTACTCAAGTTTTGCTTACACTCACACATACATACTCAGCTGAACATTTGTTTTACTTCTCATAAAACAAAATTAAGAATACACTGTTGCTTGTTTACTTCTCACAGGTCCAGGTGACAATAACTAATCCCTGGCATAAATTTGGTACAGTAACTCAAATGTTTGGATGAATTTGACCAATAATAATAATAATAATAATAATAATAATAATAATAATAATAATAATAATAATAATAAAAAAAAAAAAAAAAAAAAAAAAAAATAATAATAATAATAATAATAATAATAATAATAATAATACTACTAATAATACTAATAATAATTTTCAAGCTACAAGAAAACTGTAATAATATTTTAATACAAATTGATATAAATAAAGTAAATCAAAGCATTTGGTTATTTACTCAATCATACAATAATCAACTCTGAGCTCTCAACTTATAAATACATCATATTTATTGTATGTGTTTATTTAAAATGTGTACAGAATGATGTCTTCTATATTTTGTTATCTTACAAGTAAAACAAACTTCAACTGAATTTGTGGGGAAGTAAAACCTGATGTAGACTACTGGTAAGTCTGGGGTAACATGGATGACCCCAGACCTAGGGAGACTGGTAAACCCTCAAAACTGGTTGTTTTTGTCCCAAGGATCCTGGATTTGAGGGTCTATATACCTGTATTAATTGCATCCTGCCTTCTTGTTTTAGCATTAAACATATAAACTTCATATAGTGAATGTGAAAGATGATCCCAAAGGCCTGACAGCCCATTATAGGTGGTGCAAGTACAGAACACTAGACTGAGCCTTCTTTCAGTATACAAGGAGGCAGTGTGGCCGACACTACACTCGAGTGCCTTAACAACTGGATGAACTTGGGGTGCCGAGGGCATGAACTAATTACCCTAAGGTAAGAGGTGAGTTGCTGTATCCATTTGGGCACCCCACCAAGCAGATATATTTAATGAGAGAAGTAAACATAATGATAAGAGTTAAAAATACTATACTTTACTGTATATTAAATATATACCTGTACTGGCAGTCCTCAATTTTTCAAGATCCAATTTACAAAATTCCCGAGTTAAAAAAAAAAAAAAAAATATTTGCCCCGTATTCCGATTTACATAGAAAAAATCTGGTTACATAATTTTTTTTTCATATATTTTTTGGAAGCATCAGAAGAAGCCCTGAAGTGCTGGCACAGGCACTTCAGGGCTTCCTATACTAGACCTGGTCAGTTTATAGAAACAATTGAACTAAAAACAACAGAGTAGTGTACTATATCAAGTGTGGTTAATTAATGTTTTAGTTATCATGACTCACAACATCACCTGAAGCAGTGGCAAGATGCTGACTCAAGATATTTTGACAATGGGAACAATGATGTGTTAAGTACCTCAGAGTTTGGTCTAATGTCAGTGGAGGAAATAAAATGTTAAATGAATAAGTCTATAATTTCTTCTTCAAATTAAACCTCATCAAAAATAAAATATAAAGTGAAAGCGAAACATCTCAAAGTACAGTCTCCCCTCGCCTTACGACGGGGTTCCGTCCCAACGACCAGGTCGTAAGTCGAATTGGTCTTAAGTCGAAAAGGGGAGAATAATACATAGAAATTCTAAATTGGGTGTCTCTTTTTCTTCTCAGCACCACGAGAACTCTCACTTTTACAATTGCCAGCCATTTTAAAGGTATTACAAACGAAAATTTTGTCAGTACACAGCGCAATCACTAACGTCGGGACTCGAAAATACGTAACGTGAAAAAGATTTTATGCGACCGTGGCCGTCGTATGTCCGGGTTGTCGTAAGTCGAGGAAAGGAAAACACTGAGCGGGTTCAGGTACATTCAGGAGCCGTGCATGCCCAGTATTTGCCAACAGTGCGTGACAGAGACGTGATCGATCGTCGCTTAGCGAGCCGACCTTTTGGTGAAGAATATAAAGGAAACGAAGTCGGACCGATCGCCAAGCGGCAACAAGCCGATCAGTGGCTAAGAGGATAAAAAAAAAAAAAAAAAAATAACATTCCAAATAACATTTAAGTGTTCTTGCTACTGTGTAAAAACATTCTAATAGAGAAATACCATATTATAGCTCTGTACAGTACTGTAGGAAGCTGTGAAAATACCTTTAATATAATTCTGATATTGTAGAGGGGAGGATGACCTTACTGAATATGATTTTGACAAGGACATTATATATTTATGGTACATATTATACAATCAATGGAAGAAGGAAAAAATCATTTATAATAAGTAAGGAAATACACGATGACTACCGAGTATGCATGGGGAAGCAGATATATTTAATGAGAGAAGTAAACATAATGATAAGAGTTAAAAATACTATACTTTACTGTATATTAAATATATACCTGTACTGGCAGTCCTCAATTTTTCAAGATCCAATTTACAAAATTCCCGAGTTAAAAAAAAAAAAAAAAATATTTGCCCCGTATTCCGATTTACATAGAAAAAATCTGGTTACATAATTTTTTTTTCATATATTTTTTGGAAGCATCAGAAGAAGCCCTGAAGTGCTGGCACAGGCACTTCAGGGCTTCCTATACTAGACCTGGTCAGTTTATAGAAACAATTGAACTAAAAACAACAGAGTAGTGTACTATATCAAGTGTGGTTAATTAATGTTTAAGTTATCATGACTCACAACATCACCTGAAGCAGTGGCAAGATGCTGACTCAAGATATTTTGACAATGGGAACAATGATGTGTTAAGTACCTCAGAGTTTGGTCTAATGTCAGTGGAGGAAATAAAATGTTAAATGAATAAGTCTATAATTTCTTCTTCAAATTAAACCTCATCAAAAATAAAATATAAAGTGAAAGCGAAACATCTCAAAGTACAGTCTCCCCTCGCCTTACGACGGGGTTCCGTCCCAACGACCAGGTCGTAAGTCGAATTGGTCTTAAGTCGAAAAGGGGAGAATAATACATAGAAATTCTAAATTGGGTGTCTCTTTTTCTTCTCAGCACCACGAGAACTCTCACTTTTACAATTGCCAGCCATTTTAAAGGTATTACAAACGAAAATTTTGTCAGTACACAGCGCAATCACTAACGTCGGGACTCGAAAATACGTAACGTGAAAAAGATTTTATGCGACCGTGGCCGTCGTATGTCCGGGTTGTCGTAAGTCGAGGAGAGACTGTATATACAGTATACAGTATGCACAGAGCAGTAGAGCTACTGCTGGTGTGTCACTACCAAAGTGAGACCATATGTCTTGGCTGGGCCTCACAGTCTCACACTGCATCACATTAGTGGTGCAGTTTCTCACAAGTACAGTATAAAATTATCACTGAACTATATGCAATTCACTTAATGTGTTTATTATTGGCTTATAATCATTATGTACATCAATTCTTTTTTTTTTAAGCATGTTTTGTTGCACTTTCAGACATTTGGGGATATTTTTTTTTAGGAATGTATCTCAGCTTTTGTAATGGAAGTCTATGGCAAATGGGATCTGATTTATGAAAATAAATTTCATGAAATCTATTCAGGAGTGGAAACCTTTAGTAAATTGTGGACTGCCTGTACTAAATACAAAGTAATGTTCTGTATACCTATACAGTATATATATGCTTTAGTGCCATGTTTGGTATGGGAGTAAAAAATGATACTAAAGTAATAATAAATACTGTATAAACAATAATAGGAAAGAAGGAATGCATTTAATAAGCAAAAACTAATGAACATAATATAGGAAGACAAAACGAAGTATTTGGGAGAACGAACCAAACTACTGTGTACAAGAACTGTGTGAACGGAAATATATCTAGTATGGGAAATAATTATAATTTATATGAAGAACAAATAATAACTAAAGATTTATAAAAATAACTCAAACACTGTTATAAAAAATATATATGCAATTTATTTAAGAGTTTATCCATCAGTGTTTGGTGTCTTCAATAACTCCCTTGCTGGAGCTACTTCAAGTCTCAAAATATTATATACAGGTTACAAATAGTCATGCTAATGCTTATAAATTAAGAAACATTAAGTTGATTATTTGTAAACATCAAGAAAAACCGGTATTAAAAAATCTTCATTAAATTTTGAGCTTATTAAGTGAGTCTTAGGTAATGAGAATTATTATTTGTCCATCACATATACTTGATGAGCCAGGGAACAGCCTCTCTCGTGACTATATGCTCGGGATCATCTCTAGTGCTGGACAATGCGTACGGGTAGGATGAGGGTGCCACAATGTTAAACACTGATGTAGGCAGATATCAAACGGAAAATATCAAATCTAAATGCACCCTCTCCTTACCTTTACAAAGTACCTTGAACGCTTGTTAAGATACAAGAAATGTTCAACTTTCAGTAAATGAATATTAAAAGGAAATCATTCAAATAAACATGCTTATATCTTTGGAGGAAAAATACCTGAAATTATAAGAAAAAAATCCTGTTTCAGGGGAAAAAATCACAAAAAACACAAAACAACACTGGCCATCATTTAATGTACAGGGAATATCAGAGATTAATTGGTTACCAACACCTGGAAAATAAATAAAATCCACTAGCTATTGGTGTATGTATACCTGTTGATATACAAGTAGCACAAAAACCTATCATACCAAAAAAAAAAAAATCAAAGAAATGGATAAACAAACATAACCACACAACTCTCATGAGGGATCAACATCAGCTGGTGCAAGGAAGTCTAAAATATTAGTAATGAACTGAGGAAAGAGCCAGCCTTCTCATTTTCAAGCTACTGGCATCTCAAGTTTACAGTGCTTATAACTATCACTGAAAATCATACACAAGATTAATGTTTAAGTAATGAGACTGGCAATTTCTCTTTACCAAACTTGAATTATTGTGTTTCTGTCTCTTGCTTCCCTGGTAGTGGAGGACCCCTGACTCTCCCTACCATCTAATACTCCTTCAACACCAAATGAGAAGACTGCCACCTAAATATAACTCTAGCCAAAAATAGGACTCCAAGGGTAAGTTAATGTAGACATCCACTTCTCATTATTTACAGATTAATATGGAAACATTAACAGCTGTTGACACATTACATTATTAGAACTGTTATGATGTTCTCCTTCATTAACTACTGACATAAGGCTGTGTGCCATTATGACCTTATGGATTACAAGGTACTTTTGAGATGAAGGCAGTCATAATAAAAATGAGAAAATTGTATTGAAGGGAATCAAATTTCACTCAGAAATTATATATATGATCAATGTCAAATTTACCCCAGCCCTTATAGGCCCTAACCTTAGTAGGCTCCAACCCTACCCCAGTAGGCTCAAACCCGAATGCTATTAGGCCACAATGATAATGGGTACCTTAGGAAGTTAGGCTAGGCAAAGGCCCATTTGATCATCAACTATGCATAAGTACAGTAGTCATGAATGTTTTATTTAAGTAAGAGCCAAATCAGTAGATTTCTTTTGCACTGCTGATGGTTCTGGAAGTGGACGTAGTATAAGAACTAAAATGTTTGGAGTAGAATTGATATTTTCCATCTTATTCACAATGTGAGAAAAGGCACAAAATTTCAGTTAACTCTCAAACACATCCTCAGCCTCCTCTTAGTATTAAATGGTTCCTGGTAAAAACAGAACTACAGTACTTTAATAATAACACTATAGTTGATAAGTATTTTCATCGATGTGACAGAAAGAGATGAAAGCAAGAGAGAAAGGTGGTGCAATGGGACACAAGACACTGGGAGGTACAGTAGCTGCCATTTACTGTTGGGATTTCAGAAGTTGCAAAGATTGGAAGAATGTACAAAGAGAAAGTTGAAATAATAAAGATAAATAAGATAGGAAAATAAAAAGTAGGAGGCAAGGTATTTCATTATGTTTGGGAAAAGTGACAGCAAGTGAAACAATTAGTGATGAATTCAAACATAGACTAACAGAGCAAAAGGAAGTACTGTAATACATTCAAAGAAAACTTGAGACAGACAGACAAGAGACTTATGTTAAAGGAAGTAACAGTTGGATATAGAGAAATCATGAGTCAACATTATTATAAGAGCATAAAACAATGACTTGTGATGTACAGGTAATTAAAAGAAGCAAATTAGATGGAACAGAAATGATGTATACTTGATAAACATATTTACTATTTTCAGTTCCTGGCTATCAATTCTCTTTCCTTTTATAACTTCCTTCACTCACCCAGAAAAACAATACTGTACAGAGTATTTGTCACAGTCAGAGGCAAACCCCACACTCTCTCTAGCTACCGTATGGATTGGTTACCTGCACTGTGAATAAGTATTTGAAGAGGCCGAGGATTATGGTGGTCCCTAAGTTAAGTCTTTAAACAAACACAAATAGAACAATCTAGTCCAAAGATCAATAAAGGGTGGAATCATTTTTCTATTACCAGATACAGTGGGGTATGCTATAACGAACGGATCCTACTACGAATATTCCTATAACAAACGGTTTTACCTATAAAATTGAGAATGTTATAACGAACGCAACTCCTACAACGAACGCGGATGAATACCGGACTATTTCGTCTGGCGCATGAATATTGTTGTACCGCTGCTTCCAGCAAGAGTGTCAGGCGCCATATTGGTTCATTGTGTAGTCAGTGCACCACTGAACTTGTTGAAATTTCGTCTTTTGATGTGGAAATTCGTGTCATTTGTATAACTATTTTGTTATACAAGTGTACAATTGTAACAATGAATCGTCAAAAGTGAGTGAGAAAGGTAATAACCCTTGAAACTATGAAAGAAATTATAAATAAACAGACAAAGTGCCTGTAAGACAGTCACCAAAGAGGGCTAGGAAGGATGACTCCTCCCCTTCCACCTCTTCTCCATAATTCTCTCCTCCACCCCTCCTCCTCTGCCTCCTGTCCTGTATGCTGAACAACACTAAGGTAAGATAAAGTACCGTATTTTTTACAATTTCCACAGATATTTTTCAGTGTTAAGTGGTTGTATTTGGGGGCCTGGAACGGATTAATCCTATAACGAACGAATGCTATAATGAGCGAGGTTCTAGAACCAATTAGATTCGTTATAGCATACCCCACTGTAAAAGAAAATTCGATTCCTGAAACAAATTGAACAAGCTCAGATGTCAGTTGAATTAGAATCTTGTTAGACATAAAATTGATCTATACTTCACAGACCATCATCCATTTTCCCTTTTACAATTTTCATCTTTTTTATTGTGGCTGCTAATACAACCGCATTTATAAAGCCAGTTCAGTTTCATCTACATTACACCTCCGACATGCAATGCTACTTGCACCTTATGTTACCGCAGTTACCGTGTCCTGTGGAAAGGCACAGTGAGTAATATCTGGACACACCAAACCTTCATTTATCTCATGTTATCTTTAGGAAAATAATCAATATTATTAACTATTTCAACTCTATGATTAAAAAGACTTTATAACTGGACTAATTTCTTTCAGCTTTCTGAGATTCTTACGGTCAAATGGAAAGATCATCACTAACTTTTGAAAGGTTGTATTATTAAAGAACTAATCTGTATACAGTACTACACACTGAACTACACTGGCTGCAAAAAAAACTGATACCTGTTAGCCTACAACAAGATTAAACTGATACTGAAACCAAATGTTATTAATACTGTATGGAAAATGCCAAGCCCTATCTACTGTATGTATAAATCCCTATTAAAAAAAAGAATCAGCCTACAGCTCAAGATTTTATAGAGGAGGAAGGGAGATATATTATCGTAATTAGTGAGAGAATACACGTCACTGCTCATATCTCTTGTTTATGTTAAAAAATTCCCTTTCTAGTTATGGGTCAAGCTACAGGGTTCAGGGAATTTAACACCATTGAAGAAGTTGGACTTATTTTTCATTCACAAAACTATATTATGGTGAGTCAGTCCAGATACTGAGAGGATTTATGGGGAGAGAAAGAGATAAACAGAGAGAGAGAGAGAGAGGAGAGAGAAGAGAAAAGAAGAGAAAAGAAGAGAGAGAAGAGGAGACAGGTAGGCCTCTATACCATCACTGTGCTACAAGACTAAGAGGGAATATTACATTATATAAGATTTATCACCACATGGAAATCAGGAATGTTTAGATGATAAAAAAAAAGGAAACAAGAGATTAATGTACAAACTGATAATTACTATAATGTATAAACATGATGCATCAAGTGAATGACATAAAAAAAATATGTAATATACCCATTCCTGTATTCTATGAGGTAAGACACTTCACTTGAAACTGAAGCGGGGTCATGAAGATAACAATAATAAGTAATTTTTTTTTTAAAGGGGAGGGAAACATTGCAGTAAGTGGTCACTCCTCTTACCTCCATGTCTGACTAATGTACCGTACTTAACACTGCTCCCTGTATGATGGACCTACTCGGGGGTATCAGAGAGCCGGTGGGTCTGACTTAATCAACATATAAGTATTGAGAGCATAACTACTGTAGGGGGGGAGGGGGGGGTGGTGTACCAGTTCATACAAAGATCTTTTAAATTTACACCTACAAGCTCAACATTATGACTAAAGATGTATTATTCAGATGCCTATAGAATTCAGAGCCAATTAGGGATGTGTGACTATGACTTTAATTAGTTTACAGTAGTACATCAAATTACTGAACAACTGCATCTCTTAACTATTAAATTGGACATGTTTTTGAGGGGTATTATATTTCACAAAAAATAATACAGGTTATCCTCATATATTTCAGAGGTTGTGTTTCCAGAGAAGGTCAACAGAAGCACAAATGGTATAAACAAAGACAAGTTTTTCCAGTAGAAGGGAGGTTATGTTCCCAGCCAGAGTCCCCATATACTCTTTATCACCAATCCATGCTATTGTTTTCTGTATGAGGAGAGGCCAGCAGGGAGGATGATGTACTGATGCCAGACTTCATAAACAGATGGCTAGTCAGGCCTGTCAGTAGCTTCAAGTATTTCAAATAATAATTTCAAATATTGCTATCACTTCCTGGTCCATTGTTTGAATAAAAAAAGTGGTGCTGGGTGGTATAAGGATGACTCACATATTAGGATACAGATCATTAAGGTGTGAAAGGTGACTTGGGACATTACAGTATTCACAAATCAGTCTTCAGGATATTCTAATGTTATGTTATGTCCAACAGAAAATTGGATTACCAGAGAACAGGACAGGAGAGGCATAATCAATTGTTGTCTGGACGATGAGGTATATGAAAAGTGGGATCAAAGAGGTTCCTTTTAGGCCACAGGTGAGGAACTGGAGGGGTATAATTTTGTAGCCAGCATTGAGCTATGTTATGGAAGAACAGCAGTGGATGTGGTGACCTTTTAATGGTCTCAGACAGGTGTTTACCCCCATATTATGAGTGTGTGAGGTTGTACTGTATAGGGGAGAGGGGTTAATAATTCTTCAATAAATCACAAAGTCTGCTGTTGTGAACCACCTGATGCAATCATTAGTCCAGTAAAGTGATGTACTACTGTAACCTATAGAAGTGCCTGTTATGACAATATAAGCTTTAATATCCCCAAATACAAATAAACAAAACTATACCAAGAGTCCTACATATCATGTTAATCAATCAACAAAAATTTAGTACAGTACAGCATTTTTTTATAATTCTACTTACTGATAGAAATTGTTACTCTTAAAAGTATATTTATATATGATTCTTTCCCACTCGAAGAAATGTTAATTCTGACAACATCTACACTGTACCCACTGACAAGCATTAACTAACCTGAGCCTAGTCATGACCACCTGAAACCACACCCAAATAATGTGTCATCCATCAGGATATGACGGACCCACTTTTCTTAATTGCAAAAAAAAAATACAAAAAAAATCCTATAAATCAGATGCTAAAAAAATAAAAACCCTTAAAGAGGATGGACATATGGCCTAGAATTCTCGATACATCAGAAAACATAAAATATCCCAACATTCAAAGTCTTTTCCCTATTAATAGTAAACACTCATACACTCATGATTCATCAAGCCTATAACCCAAGATCATTCGAGAACCTTTCACTTGTCAAAGATTTTACCATACTCAACATCCAACTGTCCTGCATTTAGATTCTACCACAATTGACATTTCACTCACAATTGAATATTTACTAATATGACAATAAAGTAACAGTACATTGATAATAAAATATACAGGTTCTACTTATTTAATCAATGTTCTATTTCTCTCTCTCAAGAAAATGATGAAGGTAATCCCACTTCATTTACACTCACATAATACAAGTAATAGCTTTTCATAATATATATAAGACACACTAAATGTTAATATTGTGAGCCATAATTAAGAGAACTTACCTGGAAAGCAGAATAGCGGCCACCTTTACGGGGACGATTGTACGACGGAAGATGACGACGGATGAGGTCTAACTCGTTGATGTGAAGGAGGTTATCCATGAGCAAGGAGGCAATAATCCATATACTCTGACCCCACAAGAAGAGATTCTTTGGAGTGCCTTCAGGGCTCGACTGACGATACTAAGAGGGATAAATTCACACATACTTATTCTTGTTCCTGACCAATGAAGTACAGTGTCAAAGCTCAACATTATGGATACCTGACACACATACACAAGGAAACTGTTGAGCCTGAAATATATATAGGATCATTTTTTGTTTATTCTAGAACCCTAAATGATTAATATATTTGAGTGACTACGTCGTTGCGAAGAATAGAAATGTTCTTTGCAGTGATCAGACTTTTTTCCTGCTAAGTTTAAGATTCCAGTTTCTGTACGTCCTAAAACATAGTAACCATTCAAGGTTCTTGAATATAAAAGTGACAACGTATCTAAATCTGTACCGTGTTTATATTTTTCCCGGGTACTGTACAATACTTTACCTGTTTACGGAACTGTCAATTCTTTTTCTCAAATTTCGTCATATCTTACATCTACTGTATTAAGTCATTTTACACTACACTATGTTATAAAGTATTCAAAGACTTTAAGGTAAATAATGTCAATTCTCAAAAATATTGCAGCTGTATTATAATATTTGAGTCTAAGAATACTCTGACTCTAAAGAATATTGTAATCTACTGTACACAAGACCATCATGAGTTTACTGTATGTAGAGAAGCATCAAGGACTTAAACCCACCTGAGAGCCTGGTTCAGCCTGCTCATCCTCCACGTTGTCTTTGTGGACAAAGTAGTACATCGGGATCACTGGATCTGTTAAGTACAAAAAATAATGTCTTCAGTTGCTTATTTAGGTCTTGTTTTATCAAAGATTATGATCAAACATTACATCTTCTCTATAACTGGTGATGCACAAATGGAACCTAAATGGCATCAAGACAGCATTAAGACCACTGTAATGTATATTAGAGCAATATGAATTTCCTAATTCGTTGTTAAAGAAAAAAAAAAGCAATGGACAGATTTTTGAGAACCTGGCAGCAGATCTGTTTGCTTGCCTAAATCTTAATATGTCAAATGAAACATCTTTAGTACTACAGAGAAGGGAGGTTTACAATATACTATGCATACGCTTGTAAATGCTACTGAACATTATTATTTTCTATGGTAGGACAATATCTAGGTTATGAGATTGACAATGTTGCCAGAAAGGTGAGCAAACTGCTGACAGAACCACAGCAGAGTTCACAAGTCTTTGCTTAACTCTAGCCTAAGAGGAGAGGAATCATTGTTTACTGAACTCCTGTTGTGATGCATCAACATACCAAGTTTAATTAAAATCCATTAATATAAATTATCATGTTTACAATCACCAGCAGCATGGACATACAACACCGTGTATTCCCCCATGTCCTCTTCCCAAGATGACAAGGAAGAAAAAGAGGAATGTCCCAGCTGTTGATAATGTAACCAAAAGTATGTAAAATAGATACTGTAATTTCCCTTTTCTTGAGTTAATAATAAAGTTTCTGTTGTTGAAACTATATTTAGGTGTCCCTGTTCTGTTCCATTCACTAAGACCAAATGCAGATGGTTCACCACCTATGGATAAGTATTCATATGGTACATAAAATTCTTGGGAGTAAACACGAGGACAATTGAGATATGGGCAGCATTATAACTACAGTATATCCTATAAAATATCTTCAACTGGGTAAGATATGAAAGAAAGAGAAATTCCCCCGTGATTGTTATAATTAAGGGAGGACTACTAAAGATGTCAGTGGTATTCCTAATGCTACCTAAAGACCCACAGGAACAGAACAGATACTGGTAACTACACCTGGCCTTCATCTCAACTGGAAACAGAGAATATATACATTACCTCCCCACTTATCTCTCTTGACCAGTGGCTTTAACTTGTTCTTGTACTCCTCTACTTGTTCTTCGTTATTCTTGAACATGCCCTCTAGGATCATGTACAAGTAGAACAGTGGCCATTGACATTCTATCTTCTCAAATTCCTGTTCAAAAGATAAAGTCAGTCATAATATTGCACAATAACACAAGTACTTGAAGCAGTTAAACAATCAACACTCAAGAGACTATCTATCTGATGTTAATAATAAGAGTTGCATTTATAAAACACATATACTCTACCCCACAAGTGCAAAAACCAATCAGTTTGATAGTCTATTTACGTATTTCAAAAAAACATAATACTTTAATAATGATAATAATAAATCATTGCTCTTAACTAAATACTTTTTCCTTAATCCTGCTGACAACTTGGGCAACAGTGTATACATGTGAGTGGAGAGGTACACATGAGAAATGAGGATAAAAAAAAGAGGTGCAAATTATTATCAGACAACTCATGAACCCCTGAGCGAAAATGACTTAATCCCTTATGGATGATGAGATAATGCTTTAAGGTTGATGACTTAACTCCCTGAGTATAAAAACTTACTCCGTTAATTATAATAATAACCCCATACGGTACAATACCTTTGTTTCTGCACTGTGATAAAACCTCCTCCTCTTGTCTTCCAAAACTGTTCCATAACCATCCCGGTGAAACCTCTTAAACCCATATTTGCCTTCTAGGGAACTGATGACCTGGAGAAAAACAGTGAAGTTAAACCAATAATATGTCTGGCCCTGATAAACCTCTCACCATGACCCCATATTACAATAAGCACATCTACTGTCCCTTTAAGATGGAGTTAATTTTAATCATAAACTTGGATGGAATAGATGAACAGGCTGACAGGACAAACAAGAGTTATGTACATTCCCTAAAATAACAAACTATACAACAACTGCATCTAGTTTAATTTCTGGATCACTAGAAGAATTTAATGAAGTTCTTTATAAAAACATCATATTTAGAAAGAAAAAAAGGTTACTATGTACAAAAAAAATCACACCAGAAACAAATACCAATTATAGGGACAGAAAAACATATATTGTAAAGTTCTTTGGGCTCTAACCAAACATATTCTTAACTACCTGATACATTAAACAAATAAATGATATAATTCTGGTAAATACGATAGCAATAGAATAATCTTCCCACACCCTAAATATTTATTACTCATCAAGTAAAACAGCGTAACAAATTTCCTTCTGAGCTATCAAGTCTTTCCCCAGGTAATGAACAGAAACAAGATTTATACAGTACACCTTCATAATTTATACACACAACAGTCTACTATAGTTACTAACCTGAGACCTTGTTTTGGAGTATAACATTTGATCGTGAGTAGCAAAGGCAGGGAAGGATATAGTACACATGAGACTTGCATCAACGTTCTGCAATGAAGAAAAGATTTGATGAATCCATTTGCTTATACACATGAGAAGGTTTGTAAAATTATTGCCATGTTAATACACAACTTGGCCATTTTCTTTAACTAGAAGGAAAACTACCACTAACAAGAGCTCTACCTTCTTAGCTTAACTAATTTTGTATTTTTTAATGAGCTGCACATTCCTCAATTCTTCTTCCTCACTTCTCCATTCATTCAACTCTACATCACACAATCTACTGGTTGTTTTAAAGTCTTACAAGAGCCATAAATGTATACTGGATCAATCAGTGTTGTAGATCTTCTCACAGTTCCTGCAATTCAAGCTAGGATAAAGTCTTACAATTTGTATGAAGAGTAGAGTTTGAAAATTAACATAAAAAGGATCTTATAAATGGCATATGGGGCCAAGTAGTTTTGTGCAAGATGGATTAAAAAGGAATCTAGCAAGATGCATGATGTCTTCCAATTTGAATAAGTGGAGCACTGCAAATTACACAGGGAGGAGAGTTTCATAACTTGTATGAGATGATGGATGAATCTTACAACCAGCAAAAGGGGATAGATCTTATATTTTAAGAGGAGGTGGATCTTGCAAATTTATGGGAAGGAAGAATCTCCTGAAGAAGAGAATTTTACAACTTGCATTAGGAGGAAACCTTGCAATATATATGAGGAAAAGAAGAGTTGTAATATGCATGAGGAGGAGAACTCTTGCAATTTTCATGAGAAAGAGTAGTTACTAGTGTTGATCTTGCAACGTACATACAGTCTTGCAATTTGCATAGGAAAGGGTATTCTTACAATCTTTATGATGAAAAGTAGTCATGCAATGTGTATGAGAAGGAGTCTTTGCAATCTGAATGATGGGAACAGTCTTGTAATTTACTGAGAGGGAATGACAAGGATAATAAATGTGGTTGAGGATAAATGAATAAATATCAACAACACTCAGGACAGGAGTAAAGTGGTTACCTTAGAGCTGGACTCCCGGGGTAACAACGTCTCAAAGATGCTGCGGTTACGGTTGTGTGCATCAATGTCCACAAAGATGACAGACCAAGAGGCACCTTTCTCTCCAAAAAGGTTACAACCATTGATGGCTTCCAAGGCTGCCTTAGCCATCCCAATAGAGCTGCCAGTGGGGGAAATAATAACTTTTTGATGTGTTTTAACTTACATGGAAGGTGGGAATAATATCAGTAACAAGTGAAATGACAAATGAATGACTCAAGATCAAGAGGTCTCCACTGTTGGCTAAATTGTTGAGATCGTAACCCCTACACTTCCACCCATTGTTGATTAGTATTTCCTGTTAACTATTAAATACTTCTTGTCTTTTATACTTATTACCACCAAGTACCTCCTAAAATAAAACTTCTTGAAACAAACACACATTTAGAGGTACATATCATAAACATATTAACCCACATTAGTCATCTCCATACAAGTAAAGAAAGAGAGTCAAGCCTGATTACCTGGCATGTAATTCTGGGGTGCCATTGTTGTACTTGCTACCACGTTCCCACATCCCAAAATCCGGAGTCCTGTAAGCTCTCTCCACATAATACACAAGATTCTGCACAAACGTCACCTCGTCCATGGTATATATGATCTGTAGTCCCGAGGTAATCATCTGGACGAGGAATAGTAGGAAGAGGGACACCACGTCAATCTGAAACACAAGGATCCCCCCACAAACTTTAATGCCACTACAGTTTATCCCATTTGGTAATGATTTAACTACATAAGACTTGATCTCCAGCCTCTTCAAATCCTACTGAAGCTTCCTCTTTAACTGTGTAATGGACGAACAAAGGCATACATGACACGGTGTTCTCTGAAAGGCAATATAACTGATGATTGGCCCAGCAATTCATGTATTAAAAGACAAAGATGAGTAATTAATTGTGTAAGTAAGAAATGAATGCCTTACATTTTAAAGCTCTGCAAGTTGTAAGTTAATGGAAAGACAGGAGGCAGACAGGCAGGAACTACCATAGAAAATAAACAATGCAAGGAGGAAAGAGGTGCAAGATGATAAAGTCAAAATAAATGGACTTTAATAAGGACAAAGTAGATGGTAGAAGCAAAATAGAGCCTCGTAGACAACCAGCAGTGATGGGAAATTAGCTTAAGTGTGAACAAATCATAACTGTACAGATATAGTAGCTAGTTGGAGAGAAAGGATACTATACAGAAAATCAAAGCATCAGGGAGACCAAAAGATGATAGTCTGGCAATTAAGTATCAGATAATTGAGGTGAGAACTATGGGTCAAAAGTTGGAAGAGAATGAATGTAGGAAAGGGTAAAATGGTGAGAGTAAGAGCAAGGGTCTGGTGCACAATTTTTGTTTGGGCCTAGAATGGAAAGACCAGACAACACTAGATGGTCACATAGGGTGGTAAGTATCATGTGTAGGTAAGAGGGAAAATTTACCATGATCAAGGGCTGGCTTTTAAATATACAGAGAACTAACACATTGGTTTTATCTTGAACACTGTTAACTTGGGCATTAAGTGAGGAGAGATTTAGTACAACAGTTGCCATCTAGAGGCAAGAGGATTTTTTAAACAATGCCTATCCAGTAAGTACACACACGAACAGGATATGAATGACAAGCACTTCATGTCCCATGTTTAGTGCTTTATTCGACTATTATCTCTGTGGTGTTGATATGCGCGCCATTCTCCCATCAAACACAAAGGCAATGGATAAAATAAATAAATACCCTAAATATATATGTACTGTATACCTGTATATAAAAAAGGAAATATGACTGTGATCACTTTAACAGTATTTTGTCATTAGCCAGACATGGTACCTGTAAACAATCCAAAATTTTGTAGCCAAGCTCATAAAACTTTTGTCAAACCAATTATTTTACAATTTTGGAATTACTTTAATAATTTGGCAATTTAAGATATGATGCACAAGTACATGCACACAAAAAAATACTATATAAAATTTTAACCTGTCTTTCTATGAACATTAATATACTGTAAGTTATATAGTTGAACCAAAAGTGCAATATGTCAGCACTAACTGAAAAGCAATTCAGAGCCAGTAAAGAAATTTGTCCACCGTGTACAGTGCAGTAGTGGTGTGCAACATACCTGCAGATGACCATAATCATCGGATGACACAACTTCCTTTCCCGTTTTGAGATGAAACTTGGAGTGTAATGCATATTTAGGATTCTGACCTTTCTTAAAATTCTCCACATTTTCTGTTTGTCTCATCCAACAATTCAGTATCCCACGCATGCACTTGACACATGACTGACCTAGTTCATACGCCTTCCCACGATCATCGTCTATACGCCTGTGAAGGAAACATTTGTACATGTAAAAATCTGAACACATTAGAGAAGGAAATGTGCAATAATTTCTACAAAGTTAATTATGATAGTACGGTTTTGTGTTAATATTAACGCCTAGTAATATTCTAAGAGCAAGAGAGGGAATAAAATTTCTGGTCAACTAGATCCCATAACCACATTAAAGGAAACAACCATATTGGGAAATTTACCACCACATTTTTTAAGTCTGGTAAAGAGACAAATTATGTATCAGTTACTATAGTATTTCCACGCCCCTCGTCAATAGCTACAAATAGCCGATTTGTTTCCCTGAGCATTTTATCTCCCCCGGACTGTGTGTGTATATATAAGCGCGTATTCATATCGACCTTTTATGATAAATATTAAAAAAAATAACATCCTCTCTGAAATGCTAATGCCTTAAAATGATTTGCATTTTGATAGTTCAGATATTTAACAGATCTGGTTACCAATAATTGTGAACACATTTAGTTTGAATTTTCTATGAACCAATCAGCTATTAGTATAGAAGAGGGGCGTGGCTTATGGGCCAGGTTAGCGTGGAAAGAGTATAGTCCTTTAGTTAGAAGTAAGTGGACCCTTCGATACACCAATTAACTAACCCCTCACCCCCGCAAAATGACATTGGGACGGTAGATACATGCAGACAAAGGCACAACACAGATACATAAACTATCTTTGTGATCCTAAGTTGTATTCTGACATGTTAAACAATATTAGGCCACGGAGAACATTGAATGACTAACTAGGAACACAACACAGTTCACATGTCATGACCTATAGTACACCATATTTGTTTCTGTAGAAGACTTGTTCAAGAGTATATACAAAATATGTGTAGGTTCTCAGTACTGTAATGAAAAACACACTTCTACAATAACAGATAATTAAAGTGGGTTTGATAGGTGGGAGGGAAACACAGGTTGAGCTAACTTTCTTTATTTCTCTAACGTTTCAAGGCGCACAGAACCCAAAACGTCAGAGAAATAAAGTTAACTCAACACTGTGTCCCCTTCCCCCTCCCCTCCCCATCAAATCCACTTGTCGTCATGGATCGATGACAGATAATTAAACTCAAGCAGTACAGTATAACCTTTGAGTGACATCACCTGTAGGCCTGGAAGAGACTCCATATAGATGCAGCACAGTATATGGTAGTGCGAATGTCAGCCACTTCCTTTTCCTGACTGGACAGCGGGAAAAGTCCAAGGGTGATGCTCTGGTTCTGTAGCAGCTGGCGCTTAACTAAAAATGTACAAACAGATGAGGATAATAAGCATGGTAGGATATGGTGAAATTAGTCTGCCCAATATTACCAATTTTTCCCTTCAGAGCCTAACAATATCACACGTTTAAGAGGAAATTTATTATATTTTCTTTTATTTAGAACCTAACAAAATCTCTTTCCCCATTAGAACATACATCATTAAGTCATTTCAGGTCACCCGTCAACAAGTGGGTAAAAAAGACTTTCCTCACCAATGCCGTAGTAGTGATCAAGCTTGCGGACAGTATCGTCATAACTGATGATTCGAAGATTAACGTCTATATCCGAATCACACACGCTGCCAGTCCGCTGCCTACTGCGAGGAGGCCTGGAAAGAAGAATACAGAGTGAATGACAAAACTAATTTAACTTTGGTAAGGTATGGTTGGCTCATGTTATCTGCTCTTATCTTCAGAAATAATCTATTGATGGTGAAAAAAATACTGAGGAAATAATTTGGCAATTACATGAAGTACCGGTATAACTTATTCTACGATCCACTGCTTGACCAACGTATTTCTTATATATTTATGCTCATCTTTATACAAACTGCACAGCAAATAAATCTTAAAAGCCAGATGATAAAGATTTAGTAAGCTTTATTTCTTGTTATTTATTAAAGGAACTGAATCATGTACCAAACTATCCATCGTGTAGGGAGTCCCACTGTCACCACTCCAAGTCCTGGGGGCACAGAGAGAGAACACCGTGTGGAGGAGCCTACAGTGAGGTGCATATGTTACCGAACTTGTGTGGTACAGTACTATGTGGCGACCCTGTTCATGAGTCTGGTGTTGCTGTCTGCCTGAAGGGGTCGGAGTAGCAAGACGACCACCCAAGGGGACGTGGTCATGCTGGGACATGGCTGTGATAACTTCTACTCAAGATCATATTTTTTTTTTCCTGTTTTTTTTTGTACAGTGTATGCGAAGAGCTCGGTTAAATACTGTTGTGTTCGCAAAAATTATGTCATGAAATAATCAAGGTTAAAGTTAGTGTACTATACAGTACATTGCTTTTATTATTTACTTCATAACCAACTATATGATATTAATTATTCTAGTGTCAAAAGAAAAACAATTGAATGTACTGGCAGGTTGAGGATATGTAAAAAAAATCTCAGGAAGATAAAGTCTGAATAGTTATTAGGCCAAGTTTATTTTAGAGGTTTACTTTACAACATACAGTACTGCAGAGTAAATGATCAATAATCATTCAAACAAATAATGTAATAACCACCAGCCTCTGATTGGCTGAGTGAGTGATGTCAAGGCTTTGTATGCCTCTGAGTGGTCATGCTATGTGGTAAATACATCGGTGTCCCACTGTATCCGTAACCTACACGTGTCGTATAGGCTGGACAAAAGGCTGAAATTCAAATGATTTATAACTCGATTTTTTTCCATGTTCCAAAGATGCATTTCCCTTCCCTGCCTAACTAACCCACCACCTCTCATCCCCCGATCCTACCCCAGTCCACTACCCCTACCCACCCTTCTCTACCCACCATCACCCACCCTGCCCTCCCCCTACTCCAACTCGTATGTCAGACCCAGCACTTGTCCACAACTGTATATTAGATTAGGTGAGGTCAGGTAGGTTGGTTAAAGAACTATTAACACACTGACATATCACAATAATTAGCTCTTGGCAAAAAAAATTAAGATAAACAAAAATTGCAATTCCTCGAACTTTAATTAATAATTCGAGGGTAAGAAACTTATTTTTCTTCTCTATTTTTTCCAAAGTTACTCCTTCTAACGGGACATATTGTAAACTGTAACCATTTATTTTATATCAAAGGAATTAAATTAACATATCATCTACCAAGAAAAATTGGCTGGACTTCAAGAGATGACATCATTTAGGTAATATACAATAGGGCATTTTATCTAATACACTCAAAGATTATGTGAAGATGTCGATATTAGGTTTTTTAGCGGATTAACTTACTGTTGTGGCACTACTAAGGACGCCATGGAGGTGTTTAAGACTGCCTGGCTCGTGTCCTTGATCCCGTAACTTCGTCCTTAACTTCGTCCTTTCTCACTTGGTTTAAATACAGGCCGTTTTAACCAGAATTTTTTTATTTTTTATAATAAAATTGAAGTGAAAAATAATAATATGTAGAATTTATCAGTTAGTCCAAGAGATAAAGAAAGAGAGATTGTATTTTCTTATATATTTACATTAAAAATTTAAAATATCTCCTACGTAAGCTGTAATTAATGGAGCAACATAGAAAACGTACACAATATAATGGAACAACTATTAATAAATTTTGCTATTTTTTTCCTTAATATAGACAGATGAATAACACACACGAAAAATATACCACTTTATAGAGCATATCTCGGTTACTAAGTATAAATTTTATATTAATTTCATATAACCCCAAAGAAATTAATCCCGCGTAAAATTTGAAGCATTTTTGTATAGTAAAAAGTAATTAACTATTGACCTCAGAATACCTCCTAATATCAAATGCACTTGGCTTCAAAATAACCTCAAAGTGCCCATGATATTGGTTAGATTAAAAAAAAATCGGGGGGCCTACAGTGTGCCCAAACCTCCCAGCTGGGTGAGCTTGTAGTGGACGTCTCCCCTACAACTGCATATAAGAAAACCACATTAGAGTTTCCTTCCATCCTGAGTGCTAGACAACATTAATATCTCGATACCCCTACAGGCTCGTTTTGCTCGCCATGTTCCCCCACCCACTATTTCTTGGACCACCCCTCTCCCCTTTTTTTATATTCCTGGATCCGCCCCTCACAGGTGCCAGTACTTGCCAAGAGTGCGTAATAGAAACGTGACCGACCGACCACCCAAAAGGCTTACAAGCCGACTAGTGGTGAAAGGGATAAAGTAAAAGTAATGTAAGCTTGTCATAGAATTTCTTACCGTGCATTATGAGATTTTCGAAGTTTACTGACGGTTCTACCTCTTCCGTGCACGGAGGTCATGCCTTTGTTCATATCCGACAAAAATAAAATTTCTCTGTACTTTTAGCAGGAAAAAACACACAATGACCTATAAATGAGATATCTAACTGCTTGATGTATATCTCACACACAGTCAACTGCAAACAATATCTACTCCAGATAACGTTATCTATGATAAGGACAAAATGATGGTATGCATATATATATTTTTTTTTATTTATCATTTAAAAACTTACCAGTTTACTAGCGATTCGTCTGTTCTTTGTTACCTTATTATGAACTTTATTGCCCAGTGTTCGCACAGGAGTAAACTGCGATGTTTAGTAGGGTCACACTGGATAACACCCCTCCCACGTGTATCGGGACAGACCTCGAACCCAGGACATAATATTGAGAGATACGCGGATCACTATACCTCTGATAACGCTTCTGAACTATAGTGAAATTATGTTATTACCATTAGCAATCATTATTTTTTTTAGTCAAGTCCCAAAAACATCCCCTTCGAACACAATGCTGTGGTAGTTGTAACTCAAACTGTTAAGAGTTAAATTTATCCCGTAACTGGAGACGAGGGAACATAAGCGGAAACCTGATTTGGAGGAATTACTGATCCACGTTATTTCTGACCATCTGCAGTTACTTTCTACCAATTCTGACTTATTTTCCTAGGAATGGTTGCACATCCTTCTAGGGGAAAATATGTCTCAAGTCAAAATTGGTAGACACATAACTGCCACGAGTTAGATTGCCATGAAGGTCCAAGAAACGTTTATTGGTGTGTGTGATACTTGTCATTCTTTTTCAGATCTGTTCAGGTGGTAAATAAAAGAGAACACTTAAGAAATTGGTTTTTATTGTCTTTTTGAACGATGTGGTGAGGGGATTCATGTATAACTGGTTCAATTTATAGTAGAGGACAAAATTAGATTTAGGCTATTTTTGTGTTTAATTATAATTTCAGATAAAAGCAAGACTATTTTCTTCTATGAGACTTTTGATTCATTTTACCCATAATGGTGAGTTGTAAATCAGAATGCTAGAAAATTTATTATTGCATTTGTGTACACCAACCGAATTTAGTATATCTAATTATGTTCTCCACTATAAATTATCTTAAAGTATATACTGTAGAGAGAAGGAAAAATTAAAATACCATAATAAAGAGATGAAGTAGGGGTGAATGAAACCTTGTGTAAATGGCATTGAAATTTTAAAGCACTGTGGTCTATTAAGGGGGTGCACCAGTCCTTTGGGTTCGGTCCTGCTAATCTAACTAAAATTACCACAACCTAAACTAATATAACAACTAGTCATTAAAACCGCCGGATCAGTGATAGAGGAATTAGTGATGGGAGGAATTAGGAGATATGGATTAAATCATTTTCCCTGGGGGTGTTACTGAGGGTAATAATAGTCTGTTGTATATTATATTAAAACCAAATAATTTTTGTCTTATATCGTAATTAGAATTATAACACTAAAATTATAATAAAATCAATATTTAAACGAAACATTTGTTATTGACGATTAAATATTGATTTAATCCAACACTCGCTTGATCTCCTATGGTAAACAACACTCGCTTGATCTCCTATGGTAAACAACACTTAAGTGGTCACCAGTTCCTACAGTAAGAAACATTACAAATTTATAACATGAATCATCCAATTCTTTGGTGTCATGAGGCAATAGTTAGTCTACTTAAGCACATTAGACAAGAAGAAGTATTATGGGACACAAAGCATCACTTGTATTATAATGAAACAATGAAAATGAGCCTCCTTGACCAGATCTGCAAGGAGCTGAGATTGGAGTACCCTGGCATGATTGGTCTGTCTACAGGTAATTTGGAGTTAGTTTGTGTCTAAATCAACTACCTCAGAAAAAAAGGTACATTATTTAAGGATATATACCTCTTGGCCTTATGTAAAACAGTTATTTTCGTGTGTATATTGATGGGAATGAACGTGGTGACGAAACGGGTAAAGCAGTTGAATAGAATTAAATTGAAACAGTTTATTGCAGTGGTGACGAAGTGGGCATACCCCGTTTAATTATTGTCTGCTGCCCACTGGTGATAAACGTTTGTTTTGCACATAATTCCTAACCTAACCTGGCTTAGGTTAGTTAAGGTGCAGTTGCAAGACAAACTGTTAACACCAGTAGATACAACAAAAACAATAAATAAAGAAGGAAAAAACGATATTTGTTGCCGGGTGCAGGAACAGAGGGTAAATAATTATGAGGTACAGTAGTTGGCACTCATGAGTTTCCTCCACTATTACCAATTACTATGGAAAATAGGTTTTAATGGTGTTTTTCATCAGGTTTCACACGAATTTGACCTTCATTAGTAGTTATGGAGATATGACTCCCCCCCCCCCCTCCAATTACCAACATTGTGGTGTAAAAACACACTAAAACGACTCAAATATCAGTATACACGTCAAACTTAACCTAACCAGAGAAACTTGAAGGACCACACCTAACCTCCTAACCCTCACTAGACTCTTAACTTAACTTAACTTTACCTAACCCAAATTTACCTTAAGAAACTGATGGAGAAGAATCTTGATACAGAGTGTCTGAATCACACCTTGGGTACTTTAATGAACCAAAGAGAATACCATGAGGCCTAAAGATGTCAGCAGCTGTGGTGTGGTTCCCAAATACTCGTTGAATCACAAGCCAATCTCCGAACACCGTCTTAATACTGGTTGAATCACAAGCCAATCTCCAAACACCGTCTTAATACTCGTTGAATCACAATCCAATCTCCAAACACCGTCTTAATACTCGTTGAATCACAAGCCAATCTCCAAACACCGTCTTAATACTCGTTGAATCACAAGCCAATCTCCAATCACCGTCTTAATACTCGTTGAATCACAAGCCAGTCTCCAAACACCGTCTTAATACTCGTTGAATCACAAGCCAATCTCCAAACACCGTCTTAATACTCGTTGAATCACAAGCCAATCTCCAATCACCGTCTTAATACTCGTTGAATCACAAGCCCATCTCCAAACACCGTCTTAATACTCATTGAATCACAAGCCAATCTCCAAACACCGTCTTAATACTCGTTGAATCACAAGCCAATCTCCAAACACCGTCTTAATACTCGTTGAATCACAAGCCAATCTCCAAACACCGTCTTAATACTCGTTGAATCACAAACCCAATCTCCAAACACCGTCTTAATACTACGTTGGAATCACGTAATCTCCAAACACCGTCTTAATACTCGTTGAATCACAAGCCAATCTCCAAACACCGTCTTAATACTCGTTGAATCACAAGCCCATCTCCAAACACCGTCTTAATACTAGTTGAATCACAAGCCCATCTCCAAACACCGTCTTAATACTCGTTGAATCACAAGCCAATCTCCAATCACCGTCTTAATACTCGTTGAATCACAAGCCAATCTCCAATCACCGTCTTAATACTCGTTGAATCACAAGCCAATCTCCAAACACCGTCTTAATACTCGTTGAATCACAAGCCAATCTCCAAACACCGTCTTAATACTCATTGAATCACAAGCCAATCTCCAAACACCGTCTTAATACTCGTTGAATCACAAGCCAATCTCCAAACACCGTCTTAATATAGATTTGAATCACAAGCCAATCTCCAATCACCCGTCTTAATACTCGTTGGATCACAAGCCAATCTCCAATCACCGTCTTAATACTCGTTGGATACAAGCCAATCTCCAAACACCGTCTTAATACTCGTTGAATCACAAGCCAATCTCCAATCACCGTCTTAATACTCGTTGAATCACAAGCCAATCTCCAATCACCGTCTTAATACTCGTTGAATCACAAGCCAATCTCCAAACACCGTCTTAATACTCGTTGAATCACAAGCCAATCTCCAAACACCGTCTTAATACTCGTTGAATCACAAGCCCATCTCCAAACACCGTCTTAATACTCGTTGAGTCACAAGCCCATCTCCAAACACCGTCTTAATACTCATTGAATCACAAGCCAATCTCTAAAAGCCGTCTTACAACTACGCAATTCAAATTCCAGGGCTTGGACATGCTTACGAGTATCATGTGACATCCAAACTTCTACTAATTGGCCGAGTAAGAAGTAAGCAATGTAGAGCATATATCCCAGCAAATTTTGTACCATAAATGAAATGAAAAAGTCAAAATAACTCAAAAAACAAAGATTTCCGACTGAAACGCAATAAAGTATTTATTTATTTATTTATTTATTTATTTATTTATTTATTGCTATACCTCCCTATATAAGAGTCAATACAGAATTCCGTGCATGGCAACTACCGAATATTAATCGTGAATATTAACCGAGCACATTTTTCTGAATTAAAAAAATAAAATAAAAAAAATTATAAATACTGTAAATAAATAATTAACATCCAGGACATAAGGACAACAAAAGCTCACACATCAACCTTAAAATGCTGCATTTAATGTATTTCTTATCAGGGAATTTTTGACTGGGCAGACTGAAGGCTATGTAGCTGGGATGTTAAGTTAGGTTGGAAAAGTCAGTTACTGTATTCTGATATATGAGTCGTTAGGTCTGGGTTCTAAGGTTTATTTGAGTATAGGTGGAGCTGTACCGTGCTTGGTATTCTCATGTTTCACAATTGCCAACCTAACTTACCTTATTATTGAAAACTTAAAAGTTACATGGTAATACAGTACAGTACTTAAAAAAAGACGTGTGCAGGTTATTCAGCAACATCCCTAAAAATGGTGGAGGAATAAATTTTTACTAAACTTAATCTAACCAAAAAAGAAAGTCAAACCTAATGACATATATATAAGTATCCACTTCCAATAATAAACACTGTATGTGCTATAAGTAGGCTCCATGGATTATGCTCCCAATATATGAAATATTAATTAGTCTTTATTAGTACTGTACTTGTACAATATTATTAGAAATCATTTAATACAATATATTTAAATCAATGATATTTTCTCAATGATTATGGGCACAGACCATAGTGTAGCATAACAGTGTCCATTCTTTAAGCCCTAAGCTCTCACTATCATTATGTTGAACAATTTCCTAACATTTCTAGCTACAACATCATAAAAATTGCTTTCTATTATAAAGATGCCAGCAGCATTGTGTCTATTCTATCAGTAATTGTAATTATCTGTATTTTTCTATAGTTTTACCTACATTACCATCTTCAAGAATTATCCTTCATTTTAGAACTACTGTATCAGCAAAGTTGCATTTGCTGAACTGACAACAAAAGTCTAATAGATATATCCTTCATTCCAGATATAGTGGTCAAAAAGTTTGCAACCTTACAGAAAAGATTCGAAAGGGAGTTAAACAAAATCAAGGCTACTTCCAATGGGCCAAATAGCAGAATAACTACAAAATGGGAGTATTTCAAAGCCTGTTCTTTCCTACTGCCTGTATACGACAACTGCACAAGTGAGCCCTGTTACCAGCCAACAAAAAATTTGACAGACGAGATCATGTCCGATGACACCCTGGAGATGGACGAGCCCGTACCATCCCCGTCCTCATCTTTAGTCTCTTCTCAACCTTCCCGCCCCAACTCTTCCCTCTCAATTACACATGTTCCACCCCTCCACAGGATACCAAAAAGAATACAAAAACGAAAAATCCAAGATAGTGCAGAGGTCATGCAACAGAAGATAATCGAATCACTGGACTGCGTGAGAGATACATGGAGTTCGCAGCCGCACCAAAGTCAACCCTTCAGATTTGATGCAGCTACAGAGGCTGCCATGTCATTCATGAATTTAATACCAAATTCACACCAACACCTCAAGGATGAATTTACTGAAAAGGTCTTTTTTCTAGTCGCAGATATGATCAAAAAGTATAACAGTGAAAAAGATTCTGAACAAATGACAGATAATGTTGAACACTTTACATAATAAAGGTCATGTTCAATGTTTGCATGGGTGCATTAGCCATGGTCACCTGAACAGTAGAGTACAAATGTTAAATTTAAGGACATTATTTTGTATTTTTTTTAATGTTAAACTTTAAGGTCTTACTTATGATATACAGTAGAACGTCGATTTAAAGTGATTCAATTTAAGGACACTGTTTTAATTTAAAGCGAATCTTTCCCATTTTGTGCGAGTCAATCTGGCGCATCATATTTTAAATTTCGCGCCTAATGTTCTCTGGGCACGCTACACTGTCCTAAGGGCAAAGTTGTACTGTACATGTACTCAAAATAATGTACTAAATGATTACTAAAATTTTTGTCTGGTGCAAACTATAGCATGTATATATTCAAACTCATCATTGTCTTATAAGAATTCCAGCAATGTTTTTAATTATTTTCCCCCATGTCAGTTCAGTGACATTTTATAAGAGAAAAACTTAGTCACTCTTAAGGACAGATAAATAAATAAGCACTAGACCTTGGCATCAACTGTCAAACTTGTCACCTCCCCCCCCCCACCTCATCTTCCCATCAGCTGATCGCTAGTAAACAGACCATTTCACGTCCCATAATTTTAGCTGTGATGATTTATGAGTGTTTGTTTTAACATAATACTGTACTACAAAAAACAATGTTTTGTTTATTCTAGGAGATGCATCTGGGTAGACTGTCAGTCTTTTTAGTATTTTGTGTTTCAAGTACCAAACTAAATTATTCCATTGAAACAACACTTTGATTTAGTGCGAATTCAGTTTAAAGCCACCTCTCTTGGAACATATTTAGTGTTATATCGACGTTCTACTGTACAGTACAGTAGTACCCCAACGCGGTCAATAAAACCCACAGGGTACCATGTTAAGTGAAAACCGCGCTAAGTGAACAACAGAACATATGGGATTAATTCCAATAGAAACTGGCCCTATCCCCAAACTCCACTTTTTCCGACACAATACCTGTTCTAGTAAAAATAACATCTTAATTTTATGATGGTACATGCACACAATTAATACTTAAGAGAAATAGAGAAATACAGTGGCCAAGTTAATGTCCATTCAAATAACGGACTCAACTCCCTCCCCCTCTTCTCACACTACACTGCTGGCTCTTCCCTCTCTGAGAAATTTTTGGGGGAAAACCACTAAATTTTAATAAATAATACCTCAAACTAAAGTTAGGATAATACAATTGACATTGCTGGATTCCTTGTAAGACCAGGAATATTTTGAATATAAATGTCATATATTTTGCACAAAAGATAACATATTTACTGAGACTAAACATTATATCTAAAATTTGTATGTCTAATGCAAAATCTATGATGTTTATATTCAAAATGATCATCATATTGTAAGAATTCCAGCAATGTAAATTATATTCTGGCCAGGTAATTTGTATGAATTTTATGAGCTAAAACAGGCAGTCAGGCAGGGTGGCGGGTGGGGCAAATCTAAAAATAGCTCTCCAGCCGGACACTCACCGCGTATACGTGGAAAAAACCCGCGTTAAGTGAAAGTTAGGCTCTGGCGAGGCACCGCGTATATGGTGAAACGCGCTAAGCGAAACCGCGTGAAGCGGGGTAATACTGTACTGTAATTTATTTTCTTATGGTAAACTGAATAATTATGTCAGCAGACATCTCAAAGCTATTTATTATCAAGGGGGTAAGTGATGAAACAGTACTCAATTTGGTCAATTATTACAGATACAAAATTGGTCAGAATGTACAATATAAGAACATAAGAATGGAGGAAACTGCAGCGGGCCTATTGACCCATACTGGGCAGTCCCGTTTATACCCAACCCCTATTGCTCATATAAGCATCCAACCTATATTTGAAGCTATCCAGCGTATTCGAGTTAATGATGATATTTGGTAACTTGTTCCATTCATCCACTACTCTGTTTCCAAACCAGTGTTTACCTATTTCACGCCAAAATCTAAATTTGTCTAATTTAAAACCATTGTTACGAGTTCGCTCCTGGTTGGATAGTTTGAGTACCTTTGTAATGTCCCCTTTGTTTAACCCTGACTTCCATTTATACACCTCTATCATGTCGCCCCTCACTCTATGTCTCTCGAGGGAGTGCAAATTAAGATACTTTAACCTGTCTCTGTATTCAAGGTTGCTAATGCCCGGGATTAGTCTTGTCATTCTCCTCTGGATTCTTTCCAAGGATTCTATATCCATTCTGTAATACGGTGACCAGAACTGAACTGCGTAATCCAGGTGAGGTCTCACAAGCGTAAGATATAATTTTAAGATGACCTCGCTAGTCTTGTAACTAACACTCCTTTGTATGAACCCAAGTACTGTACTTTATTAGCCTTGTTACGAGCAACGTGAAACATTATGAGACCATGGATGATAGGTACAGTATTGGGACATTTATTTACTTTGGTATACTATAGTTTAGCAACGTAATGCAATGTGTATTTATTTCGGCTATGTGCATACTGTACTGTACTTAAACAACAATATAATCAACATATTTACAGAACAATGTTTAAAATCCCACTACATCATAGCCTAAGTCCTTATATACATCTATTATCACTTAATTTAAGAACAAAAGAAGAAATAGAATGACAAAATACAGTAAATGAAAGTAAAAGAAAAAAAAAATAAGTTATCAGGTAAATAAAATACTGTACTGTAAATTTCAAGTTTAACCCATTTCGTATCGGTGGGCGTTCCTAAGTCGGGGACCCCTATATTCGGTTACCAAATGTAGTAGGATCAGCATGCCACAGAGCCAGCATACCAACCCTCCCGGGACATGACAAGTTGCAAGTAGTATTTCGGAAGTCATCGGACCCATCCTGGCAGATATTTTTGAGAGATGCTATACATGACAATTAATTCTATAATTCTAACTCATGGTATTAAAATGAGCAATGAGATAAATAGAATAAGTTCAGTTCATAGCTGAAAGTATATAAAACAAGGTACAACTTTAAATTAAAAACTAATAATAATTACAAAGATGAGAATAATTTATACCTTGACCTAACCATTATACAGTACCCACCCTAAACTAACCTAGGTATAAACAGATGTTACTCAGGGGGTTAAGTCATTGTACTGAGAGACATAACACTTGGGGCACCAGCAGTGGTCATAGGTGGGCGAAGGGTAAAATAAAACTGAAGAACTAAACCTCATGGAGAGAAAGTATAAAATTGACTTAATGGTCTTGATACCTGTATATACAGGTATAATCCAATTCAATTTAGAATCTGATTGAATAATAAATTTAGTGCATGAAAGGATATCTGAAAAGTGAATAAAGTTAGTATGCCTAGATGCCACAGAATTTATTTAGGAAAGTGTTTTATCAGTCATAGGGAAGTAGCTGTACTGTATAGCAAGATGCCACAGAATTTATTTATGAAAGTGTTTTATCAGTCATAGGGAAGTACTGTACCTGTACTGTATACCAAGACAGTGGCACACCCAGGGGGGGTTTCCTGGTTGCCCGGAAACCCCCCCTCCAGGTACTGCATGGTGCGGCCAACCCATACCTGACCTGGCGACACCTTAGTAACACGAAGGTTGGGTCACCTTACCTGACCTCACCCCACGCCATGGTAACTTCCATCACCTCTGCCATCCCATGCACCTGAATGCACTTAATATACAGTACAGCACTGCCAGACAGTGTGAAATATTGAGATTTAATGTGTTTTTTTCATTTTCTCATCTACATTGTACATTTTCTATAGATTTTACATAGTGTAACACATTCAGTACAGTAATAACCATATTATATACTGTACTGTACTCGATATTTAGTGCAGTAAATTCATGTATTTTAAAATTGTGTAAATCAAATATTTAAAAAAAATTTTATGACGTCTATTATCCTGTAATATAAGTCTATATATACAAAGATTAGGAAGCTAAATTACACCATCTTCAACCTCAGATTATTTCCTAAGATTCAGTGCAAATGGCGTCAAATATTGGTCAGATTTAAAAAATCTGAAAGGGCTCGCTACGCTCGCCAGACTTCTCAGTAATTTGGAAACCCCCCTCCCTACTAAATTTCTGGGTGTGCCCGTGCAAGAAGCCACAGAATTTATTTAGGAAAGTGTTTTATCAGGCATAGGGAAGTACTACGTGAAGAAAATATATGAAAATGAACCAAGGAAAATTATCGAATATATTAAAACTATAAAAGAACCCCAACAAAATATATCTAGGAAGAAAACTGATCATTTGAGAAACAGTTGAGGACATCAAGTCAAAGAGGTACAAGCATGTTCTGTCAAAACTAATCATGTGTATTAAACAGTGCTGGGTGATAGGTACTGTTGTCATACTGCTACTATAAAATGCAGGGGTAAGATAATCTCGCTATTCTTTTACAACAAACTTCAACAATTGTTTTTATATAATCAGCCACAAGAAGAATTAAAGGTAGAAGATTTTCAAGGTATCCAGAAATCATACCACAGATGCAATAAATATGAATTGCTTCTACTGCCTCTTAGAATTTTTTTCAGGAATCAGGGTGCATGAAGTTAGGGAGAAATTAATCAACGAGCAATACACACAGATGACACCATTTCACCAATGTCCCTTATGGTGGTATTGGAAGGTTTCAAATCACTTAAAATTCTAAGGAAGACATAAGTTTAAATATCAATGGAGCCTAATTAAATCTTACATTCATTTTGCTTGAGATATAGTACTGTAATGTTCTTTCAAACTCGGGAGAGCAACAATGAAAATTAAGTTTGAAACAATGTTCTACAGGTTTGCATATCCTCATTCAATATAGGTAAACAATTTAACACCATAGAAATATAATGAATTTACAAATGAACATCAGTTAAGAGTAACAATGGAATAGACTACAATTAGAAATCTACGTCGTGTAATTAAAGAAATACTGTAATATAATTGAGAGCATTGTGTGTTGGAGAGTGAGTGTTGTGTGTTGGAGGGTGAGTGTTGTGTGTTGCAGGGCTAGTGTTGTGTGTTGGAGGGTGAGTGTTGTGTGTTGGAGGTGAGTGTTGTGTGTTGGAGGGCTAGTGTTGTGTGTTGGAGGGCTAGTGTTGTGTGTTGGAGGTGAGTGTTGTGTGTTGGAGGTGAGTGTTGTGTGTTGGAGGTGAGTGTTGTGTGTTGTTGTGTGTTGGAGGGTGAGTGTTGTGGTGAGTGTTGTGTGTTGGAGGGTGAGTGTTGTGTGTTGGAGGGTGTGTGTTGTGTGTTGGAGGGCTAGTGTTGTG